CCTCACTTGAGGAAGGAAACAGATCCAGTTTCCAAAGCATCATCTTTAGTAATACCCTTTAGAATGCGGGACGACGGCCAAATTTGAAAATCCCGGTAATTCTGGATGTTGCACACCGTCGCCAGAGAATCTTTTCTTGGGAGCATTAAGCAGGCTCATTAGTTACTTTATATCTAGAAGTAACATTTTGTCGAGAAACTAAAATCAGTGGCCAGATACTTTCGCTCTAACATGAAATTTCATTTGAGGATGTCACAAGGATAAAATAATACGTCTCTGTCACTTTTTCTGATTAGTTCCAAAATATGATTGCAGGGGCATGCAAAGAAATCCTAAATCTTCTAATTATTATTAGATAGAAATAGTAATGTTAATAATTCAGGATGAAACTAAATCTTAACTCTGATGTTTCCGTCACATTTCTCGTAATTACGCACTATCATAAACCCAACATTATAAAAATGATTACAGAAAGTAATGGTGGCCGTTTGTCACAGGACAACCATTTGCCAGTTTTGGGATATACAGATACTACAACGGACCGTGACAGTGAGAAGATGTCAGGAGCTGAAGCTGCTGTTTCCCGTGCTAGAATACGAAACAGCTTATGTATGTAGCAAAAGGAACTGGTTCTGGCAACTCATGAGAGGTTCTGGAACATCAATTGAATGATAACATGAGCTCGAAAGTGTAGATCATGTAGAATTAGTGGAAGCCAGATTGTGTACCCTGACGTGGGGCGATATCAGAAGAAGTGACATTTAATTTTGCAGAAAGTAAGAGTCCTTGAATTCTGATGGGTGTCTTGAAGAGGCGTCGATACAACTAGACATCTTCCAAAGATGTCCTGAAGCTATACCATCTGGTCGAGTAGAGACATTTAACACGCCAAAGTTCAGTTCGTTCTTCAGCACTTCAGAACAATTTTGACGAGGCATAAAATCCATTCTACCAGGATATGGAATGTCGATGCATCTGCCCACCCGCTCTTTCAACGGTGCAGAAACCTCCACAGTAGGAAGTAAAGCTTTCCCTGTAACAGGCCGTGGAGACCCATAGGGTTGTGAGACGTCGAGGCTCCCACATTTTCTAGACAATCGGCTCATAGATGGCGGTGACGTTTTCAGCCTTACACTTCGGCCCCATTTATCCCCAGGAATATTCTTGGTACTCATTTCTGTTAGAGGCTTAGTCGACCTCAGAGACACAGCGCGGCTGGAAGGATTAGGTGAAATGAAAAATCCAGTGACCTCATCGGTATTCGATCCCGCGACTTTCCGGCTTGTAGCATAGTGCCTCAACCGACTACGCTACCGCATGCCCCACAATGGAAAGAAAAATTCAAGTTGGTTCCATAACAAGAGCTGAAGTAGACAGAATGTCGCAGCATTATGCTGCATGATTTATTCTGGGAGTTACATTCCAGCAGCTTTGCCATATGGAAGAAATTAAAAAAGTGAACTGGTAGGAGGACGAACAGGATCTTTAGGACTAACCTCTGATTCAGGTTGGATACCTGGACTTATATTCCTAAAACAGATTAAGCACTCTAAGGAGCATGCTAATCCTTCAGAGGAAAACAGCGTTTTGCTTATATCGGACGGGCATTCCATTCATAAATACATATATATCCTAACTTACCGGAAAAAATCATATTATGTTAATCCTGTCCCTTACACCTCACTGCAACCGTCATCTTCAGTCACTTGTCGTTCATGGATTTTTAAAGACTTGTTATCACCAGGAAGTGACAGAGTAATTGAAATGCCATTCAGTAAGGGATCTAACGGACAATCGAGTTTGCTGGGTTTCTTGTTGAAGTATACGAAAAAGCTGTCAAAAACCAAATGCTTTAGAGCGCATTCACCAAGAGGAGAATGTGGTCGTGTAATCGGCACATCTTATATGATATTCGGTTCAATCATTCACAGACCAAAAAAAAAAACACAAACAAGTTTCAAAACGCCCAGCCTTCACCCCCAGAACTTGTTCTTTCAGTTTGATCTCAAATCAACCAAGACTTTCCAGCAGAACCTGTTCCTTCCATTTCTCAAACCAATCAGCATTCACCAGCAGAGTCTAGAGCCGCTAAACTTGCAGTGAAGCAAACCGATTTGACGCCCTCTCCTCGCGGTTCTCTATCTCAGACAAAGAAACGAAGACATGAAGGCTCTAAATGTTAACAAGCAGTCCATAAGCATCGAAACGTAAGAGCAAGGATGACGGAAGAAGAGTTCATAAGCGGCGTGCTGCAAAAGGAGGCAAAAAGTTGCTGCATTTTCTGCAGTAGATGAAGATAAAATCTTATATTTTGAGAGAGATGATAACATTGACGACGATGTTTCATGCCTGTGTTTCAATGATGTGTTCAGTAATTCGAAACCAAGAAAATTATGGAGTAAGTGCGCTGGCTGTTCCATGAGGGAACATGGTGAATGTGCAGGATTTCCAAATAGAACAAAGAAATGTACATGTGACATCTACAGTCTTTGCAGAGGTGCCGTTTTCTTTCCACCCTTGCTTGTACAAATTGGCATAGACACCCATGGGGACACACGCTTTAAAACTATTGTTGAGGCATTCACCCGTCAAACCTTTAAATACATGTGCGTTTTCATGAAGTATACCTTAAAGTTTATGTAACTGGACAATGTAAATAAACAGCCAAGTTGTGTATAATTTTGCTTATCGTCATTTTAGGATATGTTGCCCTAGATATAAAAAGCTCCTTCTAGAAAATCAAAGATGTATTACTGCGTACCGGGACACGCGATAGCGTCGTTGGTTGAGGCATTAATCTATGAGCCGGAAGGTTGCGCATTCGATTCCTGATTGGTTCCCTGGATTTTTCAATTGACCTAACCTTCCAGCAGCACCATGGCACTGGAGTCGACCCAACCTCTAACAGAAATGAATACCCGGAAATCTTCCCGGGCGTTAATCGCGGCCGGCACCTAAATCTGACAACCTCATAGCCATCTGTCAGTCAATTGTGTAGAAAATGTGGGAGCCTCGATGCCTCACAACCCTATGGGCCTCCATGGCATGTTACACGGATGTGTACAAAACACTGTAATGGATAGAGCCTCTATTTTTGTAGGTTATTTAACGACGGTTTCTCTGTCGTGATTTTATAACATCGGTCGGTAGGATGTTACATTAATTATAAATTTGAAAGGATTTGAAAGGAAGCGGTAATATCCTAATCGGGGTAATAGCCCTATATTTTTCAGGACGAACTAAAATCTCAATCGAATTCCGTAGCTCCTCAAATTTGCAGTCACGATATGCTCTTCAAATTTACGCCAAGAAAAATAAAAATGAGTGAATGTGGTGACGATTCTGACCCGTATTTTGATGGTGCCCGGTTCAAATATCGGTTGGAACATTGATGAATTTGACACAATAGATTCGTGGTTTTCTCGGTCATTCCAGGCAAGTGTCTGATAGCCCCTTAAATTGGGTAACGGCTCTCTGTCTCCATGTATTTCCGGCCCATTTTAACTAATCATTCTGATATTTAATGCCATATATTCTGAGTTACTGGCAGTGTCATTAAATAAACTATAAATATAAATCCGTGGCTTTAGTCTGCAAGTGAACTATACCGGCCGAGCGACCGCCGCTTGTGGGCGAAGTTAGTGCCAAATTTAGCGGATAGAGGGTGTCGCTTGGTCAGCGCAACGGATCCCCAGGGCCGTTAGTTTCTGTTTTCTAGACCGGAGTCGCTACTTTTCCATTCAAGTAGCTCCTCAATTACCCTCACGAGGCTGAGTGGACCTCATTCCCAGACCCACCACTTCTTAGAAACTCTGCTAGCGCCGGGAATCGAACCCGAGATCTCTGTATCTGTAGCCAGGAACTCTGGCCACTAGACCACAGAGGCGGTCTAAACTATAAAAGTAAAAAAGTAAAGCTATCCCTGTAACAGGCCGTGGAGACCCATAGGGTTGTGAGATGTTGAGGTTCCCATATTTTCTAGACAATCGGCTCATAGATGGCGGCAAGGTTGTCAGCCTTACGCGCCGGCCGCCCTTTACCCCCAAGAATATTCCTGGTACTCATTTCTGTTAGAGGCTTAGCCGACCCCAGGACCATAGTGCTGCTGGAAAAATTAGGTCAATTGAAACAATGCAATGATTTCTTCCGGACTTGAACCCGCCACCTTCTGGCTTGTAGAGTAGTGCCTCAACCAACTACGCTACCGCGTGCCCCTGATCTAAGCTATTAACTATAAATATATAAATTAATAAACCACAAAAATTCTGGTAACTCTAACTGAGAATCGAGATTCTCAAGTATAACACCTTGTAGTGTTGTACGTGTGTTCCAACGTTTCAGAAGGATATTGTGCCACCATCTTCAGGATAAACGTGGGTAATTTGAGACTGCGGTGGTCTACATGAGCAGGCTCTATGTATAAAATTTCACTCAGAACTAAGAGAGGGGAATTCATCATTTCCTCGCTCTTCTACTGAGATCCCAGGCGGTAAATCATGACTCTCCACTTCCAAATCCTTATTTACTCATCATTCATGGTCATGCTGCATAATCTGCACTTACATATCGTACAAGATTTCGCGAATTTCATAGAAAATATCAATAAAACCTATAGCTAGATGCTTTATTTTCTGTACAACTTAAGTTTAAAGGAAGTGGCACCATTGACCGAAATGAATACTTGATCCGTGATTTACTAATCCCAGACATAGTGTGACTGAGATGTTGAAACCCTGAAGGAAAAATGTAGCATTGTTCCCAATTGCAAATCCAGACGTTGAAGGCTGAACTCGGAAGCTTTCAGAATGTATACCAGCATGTGCAGCTGAGCAGTGCTGGCAATGTGCCTTGCCAGTACATTATTGTCGGACAATGCTGTTTCGAGGGGTACAGCCATGAGCGCTGATAAGAGGGATCATTAAATTGCGGCCAGACTATGAAGTACAGAGCTTAAGATTACCTTTGTATTTATTGATACTTACTGCTGTTTGTCAATGCAGGTTGTCAGTTCTATCCAGCAGGCGAGTACCTGAGGTTTGTTCGGGTGCCAGAAAATGTACCTGTTGGGGGCGAGGTTCTTCAGGTCGAGGTACATCCTCGACAAAATCTTAGTATCCAACCAGTTGATAAGGTACGTTTTACACTCTGACCACTAGACGATTTGAGCGGTATCTCTATGTTACAGCATAACGTAATGGGACAGGAAAAGAGCTTCATACTGTGTGCTACATCATAACGACTACACATGTATGTATGGGGTAGGCCGAGATGAAACAGTGAGCAGTTCACTCAGAACAGGTTGTTCTAGAGATGTACTTAAGACTTGTATTCGGTGGGTACTCGTTCTATATCCTGGACATGCCCTAACTGAGGTGTTTCATGCTTTTCCCTAGTCCTGCCAAGAAAATTTTAAATAATAGTTTCATATATTCTCAATTTATGTTTTTAGACAGTGGACCAGAAGACTGACAGCATCTACTACCTACTAAATCCCTACTGAGTATTTATGAAATTTTGATTAGGAAATTGATGTTGAAGAGACAATGTGAATAATATAAATACCTGTATAGCTGGGGTGATAAAGTTAAACTGATCAAGCCTGTTCATGTGTTATACTTCTAACATGTTTTCAAGTGGTGCCTGGTTTAAATCTCCTGGACACAGGAGATCTGGACTGAGACTTTCATGGTTTACCCGAGTCACTTCAGGCTTGTTCTGGTGAAGTACCTTGATAGTTATGACTCCTTCCTTCCATGTCCTTCCCAATTCATTATTCAATAATATTCCCATCATTTTATGGTACAGAGTCTGAGTTGCTGACAACATCGTTAAACAGACCATAAAAAGGTAAAGGGATAATGTTAAGGTGGGTCTTAGAGACATACACTGTAGAAGGTGGAACTGGGTTAACTAGCTTGGGGTAAATGAAATCGCTTGGAAGGACAGGGGAGAATCACAAAGGACCTGAGTTAAGATATTCAGCATACCAACTGAGATCCAAACCTCAACAGGACGGAAACGTTTTCCATCTGAGTCAACCTGCTCAGTGTGAATGTAGTGATGAACCATAAGATCAAGAAATATTTTCACCATCTATATAAGTATGATGGATAGACAGCTGCAAATTTGGTATTTGATTCCAAAGACAAAATATTCTTATCTCTCCAGAGCATTCAAATTTTCTCTGGGGTCTACCCACCCTCCTACCAGGTCCTCTTTCCCCAGAGGTAAAGTGGTCAGTGCATATTGAGTATCACACACTTCCTACTAATATAACTGATTATGTTATTTTTATTTTTTGCATCCTGTTGCATAGATGGTCGAATTTGTAAAATTATTAACTGATTACATTATCATTGGCTTTATGGTATTTTAATTAACAGTGGTGAAGTAGAGATAATATGAAATTGTTCCCTGTCTTATTGAAGCACTTCGCTGTAAAGACACATCGGAGGGTGTGGGTAGAACTCTGTGCATTCCTAACTACAACACTAGATGAAATCGCGTGGTCAGCTTCACGTCCTGTCTGCTTTACCACCAGAGAAAACACTCCCCTTATCGACTGAATAGGAGGATTGGTGGGCCCCAGAGCCAGTCTTCATGCAACAGAGGAGAGAAAAACAGATCCCCACCGAACCTACCCTGGTCATCCAGCTCATAGCCTGTTCCTATTGGCTGCTCTGCCATTGTATAATCTTCATAATGATGGTGTCATTAAATAACCAACCAACAATACTGAGATGCTTTGGTAAATATTGAATTATGTCTTAAATATACAGGTACAGTAATACTGTTTTGACCAAAGATGTCAGAACATCACACTTATAAATGTAGCCACTTAAAAATGGTCTAAGACAAAAAAAAAATACATTTTCAAGAGAATATTAACAGTGATATGAGTTCATGGTTGTCAGTGTGGACAAATAGATTGATAACAGAATCAATTAAATGCAATTAAAATAAGTCAAAATTACTCACCCTTTTAACTTTTGCTTTACTCACAGGTGGAAGATGTGAGCTACTTCAAGTACCAGGATGTGAGCAGCGAGGTAGTGTCTGTGATATTAGCCCAGTCTCTTGAGGACCTGGTGGACAGTGAGAGTCCGCAGAATGTACTCAAATTCAGACTTGTTTGTGACTATAATGATGGCGAAGACAAGGTAAGCTTTCAAGCCCTATGACCAATAAACATATGGCATGCTTATTTCCTCTGTCCCTCTCACTCATGGATGTCAACAGTTATGGTGGTGAATTTATAGTCAAATTGGCAACACACACAGCCTAAATCAGTGCAGCAATTTTTATTCTAATCTTTTCCCTTATCTTATAAAAGGCTAATTCTTGTGTTCTGTATTTAGTGATCATCAAAGCTTGTAGTACTTATCAACAGGAACAGATGATTGTAGAAATAAGCAACAGTTGAAGGTATTCTGGAGTCAGCATTTCACGGTTCATCTTTGTGCTTCTAAACAGCACCATCTCTTATTTTCTCTGTTCAGGATATTGGTATAAATGTAGTTATACCTTCAGAAATTTTCAAGTTACCTGGGTTAGGTACATTTGACTAATTTCTTTTTAAATAAAAATTGAGACAAATGCAAAATAATTGTTTTCTAAGTGCACTTTTGTTCTAATTTTAGTATTGTTATCAGTTTACAGTGAATGGTATGAGACTGAATTCTAAACGAAAAAGAAACTAATATAGGTTGAATATGTGCTAAAGCAGTAAGTTGTTTCAGAAACGTGAAATACAAAGAATGATTGAAATATTTCTGTAGGACGAGATATCTGTGCACTAGGAGAGTAAATTTATGGTGTTATTTTGTAGCATCCTGTGGCACTTCGCTTAGTATCAAATGTTACTGGTTCCACTGTCTCAAGTGCAACACATCTTTCTATAAAACTTATTAAATGTTATTCACTTAAAACTTTTGCACATTATATAACTTAAATTCTTAAGTTTTCACTACATATCTTGACTCTTATGGTCATCATAAAGTGTTTAAAATTATAGTTGAGGAAACTGCTGTACTTCTGTCATTGTTTTGTTCATTAATTTTTAATGTATGGTAAATGTTATAAAATAAATGCATAGTTAATTACATGTTACCAATTAATATTTACCAATTTACATCATTAAAATATTAGTTTAAATAAAAAGAAGGAAGTGCTGTACACCACTATACTAACACCTCATTCCAAATTAGGATATGGTGTTTCTGATGGTAGTGTTTAATATTTATTACATCACTGAATTTGAGCTTGTGCATCTTCTTGTTTTGCAGTTTTCTACCTACAAAGACATCAGGGCACTCAAATAATGTATTTTGGTATTTTCCCATCTGTGTCTTTTGTGTTGTGACACAATGTATCGTTGTAGATGGATACAGATGCTTTGTAAACTTCACGTGAAGTCAGGCTCATGCAGTAACTATGAAGACCATAGATCTGAAATAGTAATAGTCATTCACTCATACATAAGAAACATAAGTGAACACTGCTGGAAAAAGTAACAGAACTGCAATATTCAGATTTTTAAAAATCTGTGTTTCCATTAATAAAATCATAGAAGTTGACTTGCAGGCTGTCATTTGCAAGTTAAATTTAGTTATTAATTCACAAAGGGCTTTATACTTTGGTGTCTTAAAACCAAACTCATGGTTAGAGTGGAAGGCTACAGAGCAGCCACAGAACTCATTGCTCATTTCCAGACAGCATCAGCCCTTTAATTGTTTAAATATAGTTCTCACATCAAGTAGGATGGAAAGTATTTAAAATCTCCACAAAAGAATGTACCATTTATTATCAGTAATGTAAAAGATGGTTTTCTTTTGGTATGTGTGCTGGAGTACTTCATGGGTTCCTCACTTTACTTGCTCGGCTAGCTTTGGGGATAATGAGACTAGAGCAGCCAGTCCACTTGCAGTATCTTCCACACATATACCTCAGAATTTATTGTGCCTCCATAAGTCATAGGACATATCAACCTTCTTGCACTCAGGTGCACCAAATGCCAACTTTTACATCATGGAGTGGAACTGTACACACAATGATTGGGTTCATTCTGCTGTAGTATCTGTTTTGTGTGTTCACATGCCAGCAGAGTTGCCTAATATTGTCCCTGTAAAATGCAAAGGGACAGAGTTCGGAAATGAATCATTTTTACATTATCATTGGTGATGGTAAATATGAAGTACTTTTATGGTGTATTTTTGCCTACCATTTTAAAGGGAGAAACAGCTGTAACATTATGGTGTAAAGCTGTAAAATAATTGCTTGAAAATGGCTCAGAATTCTCAGCATTAGGGAGGCAGTAGCAATACTCCAGAAAAATGTTTGAGTTGGTAATATTAGTGATTATAGAGGTAATATACAGAAGATTGTTGAACTAATAAAAAATGAACGTACTGTTAATTCTCTTCAATTGAGGATTATATATATATATATTTACACCATAAATATAGTAGTTAATTTTATTTATATGACAGTGTTATTACAGCTTTGAAGTTTTACACGTCTTCATTTGATTATTGCTCTTCTAAAACACCTTCAATTTTATATCATACTTCAAGAAGGCCGTCTTATGGAATAAAAGCCTTGTGTGTTCAACAAGACCTCCAGTATGCAGTTTTGGTTCCCACTGTATGTTGAGAAGAGAATCCTTGTTATGTTCTACTGAAAATGTAAATATCTGTGTCACTATCTGATGAATCTTCAAGCATTTTATTTAATGTAGGCTGTAAATTTGAATTTGTGAGGGGGCATGCAGTGGCATAGTTGCTTGAGGCACTATTCTACAAGCAGGAAGATCATGGGTTCGATTCCCGATGAGGTCATTGAGTCTTTCAATGGACCTAACTCTTCCAGCCACACTATGGCCCTAGGGTCAACTCAAGCACCAACAGAATTGAGTACCAGAAATCTTCCTGTGGGTAAGCAGCAGCAGGCGCGTAACACTGGTTACCTCACAGCCATATTTGAGTTGATTGTCTAGAAAATGTGGGAGCTTCAGCTCCTTACAACACTATGGGTCTCCTAGGCCTTGTGCAGAGATAGCTTTACCTGTTATTTTTACATTTTAATTAGTGTATTATCTGACAATTTTAAATTTATTTACCAAACAAGTCATAGGGTTGTTTTTGTAAGAGGTCCTAATATAAGTATAGTATACACTTTAATTAAACAGTTATAACTGTGGTCTCATCCACACAGATATATAAAAGCTTGTCCATATGCTTCCAGATATCATCTTATCTATCTGTGACAGTATATGTTGAGGACATAAATGACCATGCTCCTCAGTTCATCAATGCCCCGTATCATGTGACCGTGGATGAGTTAACACCAACTGGTAAGTATCATACATAGCTTCTGCTTTCAGGAATAAGGCATTTAGAATGTCGATGTTTTTCGATTTTTATCAAACACTGTAGTTGCTCTAATCTAGGTGAATGTGACTGGAGGAGCCAGAGGATCAGGGTGTGCTATTCAGGTTACTAGGGAATGAGCATGTGTATATATTTTTGATTAAGATATGAGTTGGTGAAAATGTTTTAATGATTATGTGATTAGGATAAGAGGCAATGCAGAAGTTTCAGTGACTTTTTCATTAGAAAAAAAGAAGTGATGAAAAGTGTTTACTGACTCCATGGTTAGGAAAGATAAAGATTTTTTATTGTGTGCAAAGTTGAGGATGGTTTCCATACCTAATTTTGGATATAGGTAGCAGAATTTATTAAAGTCAGATAAGAAAAACCAAACTGACTTTCCTGTTAAACTTCTGTCTGGTTTCATATCCTAACATTTACTAATTCATAGTTATATTACTGTTTACACATTGATCTCCTTTGACTTTATTAACCTTTATACATTAGCGCAAAGCAACACAAAGTTTTATTTGTATTCATGTAACTGTAGGAAAGCATTTATTTTCATAAGCATGCTAATCTTACATGTTAAGAAATGACAAGAAAACAAGAAATAGAACAAAATACAACAAACACAAAGCAAACAAACAAATGAAGCTATGCCTGTCTAAATTAAATTTTTTCTTCAAGCTTATCATATAATCTATGTGGCTAACTACTTATACCTTTTTACCATAGGTCTGACTGTCTTCCGTGGAATCCACGCTATTGACCATGATAAGCCAAATACTCCAAACTCTGATATACAGTATTCAATTGTTGATGGAAACGATAAAGGAAAGTTTGCCTTGGAGAGCAGTCACCGTGCAGTTTTGGTGCTCAGACATCCCCTGGACTATGACGCAGGTGACAGGAATTTCATGCTGACACTCATGGCATCGGTAATTGAAAAGTCTCTGAATGTATGCGGGTTTTGTAGTGCTGACAGAGGTGACTATGAAGCCTATTGTCTTCTGAGATATGATGCCATGCAGTCTGGCAATTCAATCTATTGACACCTCTTCTTCATCCATCAGTTCCCGCAGAGTTATTACTTCCCCTGGTAACTCTGCATATGGAAAATAATCCCTCTGTGGGCCCATGTTCTTTCCATTTTTCCACTCTTTCACTCAAGACCTCAGTTCAGGCTACATCGCCTCATGCCTCTGCCACTTTTTGAAATTAGATTTACTTTTCTACCGTGAAAAGGAGGCAGTAGATTCCTATAAAACAATGATAACAATCTACTAGACTGTATGGCGTCACATCCCAGAACACAGAAATCTTCCACCATTCCTAATAATCATGTATCAATTTGTACCCAACACAATATTGCCTCTTCACTCTCTGCATAAGAAACCTGAAATCAAGTTCACTCAAAATGTTGTACATTCAGTTTTCTTGAAGTGCCAGCTCAAGTGGTAAGACACTCCTCCCATGAAGCTGGGTTCACCTAAGGCAAGAGAGTTAGCTACCGTACTATCTTGAAACTTTATCTATGATATTTTGTTGCCAACTTCTTAGCAGACCTGCAGAATGCAACCTATGCTGTCACATGCTCTATTATTGCAGTATGCAGTAATGGTACAGGTGAAGAACATTTACAAAATTATTTTTAGGAGTTGCACTTTTTGTACTGAAGTATATTGCATCCACACTTCACCAACATCCTTGTGACAGGATTTTGTCCAGTGGAAATTATGAAACATTAATGTAAAATGCATAATACCAACTATAAATTCAACCTTAATGAAATTTGAGATATATATTAACTTTTTAACGGAAAATACAAAACAATGACAAATTCAGCAAAATTATTTATTTTAAGAAATAATCTTTTGGTAAGAAATACAGAACACTTTTGCACATGAGCTGGAGATGGCATGGCTATCGACTAGCCTGTATGTTTGTTTCAATATGATGCTGGGAGGTGGAGGGCTTGGTTACTATTCCCATCTTGCTTTAGATTATGCAGTGCATTTCACTTATTTAAAATATATGTGTACCGGATGTTACTTCTGACTGGTGTTAGGGGGTCCCTTTTATTACACTGGACTGAAGACAATTTTATAAGTGCAGTTCTCCACTTATAATGCAATGGTCAACAGAAAAATTTAATTTGTGTGTTGGAATTTCTCGATTTGCATGAATTTCCAAGAACAAATCCTATCCTTACTGCAGGTTTTTCCAGTATGGGGAAGCAGTTTGTAAATATTTGTCTTAATTCTTTTCTTTGGTTCTTACACTGTGTGGCTGTGGGCGATGGTGTCGATATTGCAGAGGTCAAAGTGTCTAAGTTGGTAGGCCACTCTCTACTTTCATGGCATTCTGACGTTCTGTAAAGGAAGTGTAGAAGAGTGAATTGAGTAGTTATTGTTGCCTTGCATTGCTCCTTTTCAAAACAACAGAATGTTATATATGTATACAGTGACTCACATACGTCAAGCATGAGACGGGAGATGACATATAACTCTGAAACATCAGCACCATTGTCCATAGCCTCACGCCTTAAGAACTGGGGAGAAGAATTAACATCAACAGCTAACCACCATGAAAGCCCAAAATCAGTAATTTTCAAATAATACTATTGTTTATTCCCCTCCATGCTTTCCTAGTTTTTTTAATTAAATGGAAAATTGTACTGTACGGCACAGAATGAGCAATTGTATTTTTTTTTTTGGTCATTGAATCTCTCTCTGGGAATAACACAGGAAGGGCATTGCATCAAGTTTCGACCAATAAGTGAATTTTCTATCCACAGGACAGAGGCTCCCCACCAAGGAACTCTACTACAAGTATGCAAGTGTCAATCCTCGATAATGATGATCTCAGCCCGAAGTTCACTCAAGACGTGTACAGAACACAAGTTACTGAATTCTATCCCCTCTCTGTGAGTAAAAATGTCTGCAAAGCTATAAGATATGGCAGGTGAACAGATATGACCTCCACATAAGGTTTCCTACTTTTAGTGTGTCAAGAACACTTACAAGAGGAAAAAGTTGACAGCATGAATTTTTTAAGATTTTGTGTTTTATCCTCTTCAAACAGATTTTCATTCAGTATCCACCTGGCACAGTCAACACCATTCAGATATTAATTTATTATGCAAGATTTGAGGTTCTTATGCCAGTGAAGATTCATGCAATGGTCTACCGATTTATGATACCTTATACTCTCGAGTATGGGTAGCAGTGTTACATAGAAACATATTGCCATCACCTTCTGTATTCTGAAATGGAAAAATAGAGGCAGTGCATCCAGTTGACCAGCTCCATGGAACAGATGCTTACTTATCCAAGAAAATACCTGTACTTTAAGGCAAATGAATGTTCATTACCATGTCCACAAAATCCTTCCATTGGTTCCTACCTGAATTAAATTAATCCATTCCATACATTCCCACATTGTTTCTTTAAAACCCATTTTAGTATCTTAGAATTTTCCTTCAGGTCTCCATTAATGTTCCTCCAAAAGGCTGGTACCTACATATGGGACAGCAAGTTGGCATAACCCAGAGGGCTTGTATATGAATCTATCTGATAATTTGTCAGGTCGCAGGAGGCTTGTATAAGGGGGTGCTTGCTTTGTTCCAAGTGGGATTCAAACTTTGTCAAGAACACACAATTGGAAGACTTAAAAATGGTCATAGAGATTTAGAAATTAATTTCCTAATTCAGTCTCCGTTAATTCCGATGCTATTTATATAGATGAGATAAAAAATGCAAAATTTGTCTCTTTGCATAATTAATTAAGCAATATGCAATGAAGACATGTGGGTTAGTGGAGATGCATCAGCAGTCTTCAGAATTACTGGGTCTGAGTATTGTACACCATGAGGTTTGGAAGGGGATGAAATTGGCTAAGGATTATGTGCAGTGGTTGACCCAGGGGTAATGTAAGATTTTTTTTTTAAATTAGCTTAGTAGGGGGTGGAGTCCAACTGGGTCCACTCAGCACGGCGGCCATTGACTGGCCTTTTGTAGCCTTTCCCACGCGCTTATGATGATGGAGAATTTGGTGAAATGAAGATTGGCAGGGGAAACCGAAGTACTCAGAGAAAACCCGGCCCAGTGCCACTTTGTCCACCACAAATCCCATTTGACCAGACCCTTGATCAAACCCGGGCTGCCGTGGTGGGAAGCCAGCGATTAACCTCTTGAGCTATGACGTGGCCCAGTCAAGTAAGATAGATACAATTATATTTGGAGTTTTTCTTGAAAGGGTTCACGAGCTAGGGTGTGGAGACTAGAGGTGAATGATATTAGCTGAGGAGTGACTGCAGTGATGGAGCAGTATTTTAGTGTTGGTGGCAGTGAAACTTCGCATTCTGCTGCCACAGTGTTAGTTAAGATTTCATATCCTTTTACTGTTGGTTCAGATTCATTTTCTTTTTCATTTTATAAACTGTTGTTGTTGTTGTTGTTATTATTGTTGTTGTTGTTATTATTATTATTATTATTATTATTATTATTATTCAAGCATCAGGTCCTCTGGCCTATTCTCTCTTGAATTGAAGTTACTCATCTAGCCATTGAATTTAAGAATTTTAGTAGTTAAAATTTTCCCTGGCCACATACCTTGCGCTACATAGGTTTAGTTCAATGATGTGATGACCAGATCATAGTTTCTTTGTACTAACCCCATAAGTGCGTTATTCCTTCTCCTTGCCTTGTATTCCATAGTGACATTGAACATATTCCAGCAACCAAGGATCTCATTATTCTCTCAGATTCTACATGCCTGTGAGAATTAACCACTAGTGTACAGCTGCCCAGCCTGTGGCTTTAATTCAGCTGTCCATATGTAGCCATTTGTGGCACAGTCTGTTCTGTGCTTTGTTACAGCCTTGTATAGAATTAAGACTAGAGTCCATTTTGTGAATTATATTGATGAAACAATGAATGGGAAGTACTTGCAACAGATACATTCCAGAAAAACCCCTAAACTGAAGTGCAAAATGCTTAACTAACCAGATGGGAGTGAGACTGAAAGTGTATTGAACATGGAGGCAACCAAACTTGTGACAAATAATTCTCTTCTCCTCCATGAAACAGAAGAATTAGAAATATGATTTGTAATATGAGGGAATAATAGATCATGAAGTGAGAACAAACATTTTATATTAGCTCTAGTCAGCTGGTTTATTTGTTATCAAAAATAAATTATAAAATGTTGCCCCCTCCTCATACCATGTCATGGGAAAGACTGTGGAACTGATTCAGTGTATCACATTCAGTGTTATGATACAAAATCAGGACTTGCTGGGCCAGCCAATTTTGCATAAAAACTGAATTTTTTTTATTCCAAACAGAATTGGAAGAGCACAATTGAAAGATAATAATAATGCATGTTTTATGTCTTTCAAGCTCCATCAAATTAGACTCAGTGTTTATGTGCAATAGTGTGATATCTGTAGGGGAAATGATATTTACATACACAGTTGCAACAGCCCATCAATTCAGAGACGAGACACTAGCATGCATTATACTTCAACGTGGCAGGTGACAGGATTGGGAGGAAGTATGGTAATGTTGCCTGTACCCGAATGTCCTGTATAAAATTACCTTTGCAGTTGTGTAAGTGAAAGCAGTGTGACTTCACTTGACATTTAGGTGTTGTATGACACTACAAAATTATAGTTGGAGAGTATCTATACTAAATGAGAGTGTTACATACTGAATATAACTTTTGCAAAAAGTTTTATCGCTGTGAATAAGGGCAAATTCTTTTCCTATTCTTCTTTTTCCTGTAATACATTTTCAACAATTTTCATTTTTATTAACACCATAAATTATTTTCTTATATTAGGATACATTTTATCACATTTCAGTGAAGACTGCATGCCCCACTTTTTCAATCCTTGCAGCCAATTCCGTCAAAATTGCCTACATTTTATCACATTTCAGTGAAGACTGCATGCCCCACTTTTTCAATCCTTGCAGCCAATTCCGTCAAAATTGCCTGTGTGGCTGTCATAGCAGCAGCTGAAATCACCATATATACACCTGATAATGGCCTTTTGTAGCCACAACTTGTCGTGAATTTACATGAAGGAGTGATGATAATTCAACTAGTAATCTGTGAAGTTGCACTGAAGTCTGATTGCATATACACTATATACATAAACTGTAGCAGGATATATAAGAGCTGTTTCTTTTATTTCTTTTCAGGGTAAGAAAATACATCAGGAGTTGAAATTCAGCCCTCCTATACATGCATATGACCAGGATGTAGCATTAGATGCACCAGTTCACTACGATATAATATCTGGCAATGATCGCCATTTGTTTGCTGTGGACAGACACAATGGCTCATTGTTTCTGGAGCAGGAATTGGACTTGGACAAGGAGAGAACACTGCCAGGAAATATGTTTGTCCTCCAGCTCCAAGCTTCTCAGGTTGACAATCCCTTGAAAACAGGGCTTGCCCGGGTTGAAGTGGAGTTACTGGATCTCAATGACAATTTACCCGAGTTTGAGGTGGACCTTTATAACATTAGCATTGTGGAAAATCTTCCAAATGGGTTCAGCGTCCTTCAGGTTATGGCTGCAGATAAAGACCAGGTAAGAAAAGTAAATAACCTTCATTAAAATTGTGGTACTTAAAACTGTTAACTGTATAAATTTTACTACTTGCTTTCATATATATATTACATATGTGTTTACAGAATTGTCATTTATGTACCATTACATTTTATCTGCCTGTTATAAGGCATGTAAGCAATATTTAAACAGATACGTAGACACATGAAGATCTCTCATTTGGAAGAACAAGGCATAAATGAGAAGAAAAACGCAGTTGGACTTTAAAAAATCAGATTACCTTGTTGTAGATTTGGTTTTACAGGTTCTGAAGAGGGTTCAGTAAGATAATTTTGCTGTTTCAGTAATTGTTACTTTATTTTGATTTATTAATTTTTCTACATGACTCTTGTTTTATAGGGCCTACACCCACATAACTTTAATGCATGTACATAGTGAACACTCTACTGTACATAAACCTATAATGGCTCCAACCTGCTTCCTCTTTCTCAAGCTAATGTTGTCTTTCTGAAAATAAATTATATAGTTAGTTTCAAGCAGAATTCTAGAATCCTGCATTGATTAGTGAGAATTCTTCTGGAGACTGAGGCTTATTAATTCCTTGAGTGTGCACTCATTGAAAAAGTTTTACTCAGAGTTGTGGCATGTTTTGTGTGTGCTATGGGTTTATAGAGTAACTCATGAATGTACATAAAATATTGCTTTATTAAACATTAGCACAATGGTTACTTCATGATTTATCAACATATGACCTACATAAGCACCCAAAATATTATAAGTGGATGATAACTTATGCATCTTGTTGCTCAGATATTTAGCTGCTACTTGTTTGCTCTCCCTATGCATACTTATATTTGTGTTTCAGCATGCAAACTAACAAAGTTATATCAGGTGTTTAGAAAAATGTAGAAATTCTTCCTCTGGTTCCCATTGTAAAAGGTTTCAATATTTTGGGTTTTGAGCTGTAACAAAATTATTTTTAATCCTTAGACTAATTTCATTCCTTTCACTGGCACATTCACTGTTCAGAGAATTTTCATCTTCTGAATTGCTAATATGGCAGGTATCTCTAAACTTGTTAGGTAGTCTTGCAAAGATTAATTTTCATGATCATGTTTGGTAATAATTTCCTTTATTTGTAGTCAGATTAATTTCTTACTGTGGCCTCTTTATCTGATTCTTCCTGAAAAAGTTTTATTATAGTTTGTTCATCTGATTTGTTACATGAACTAAGAAATACAGAACAGGTCTAAACTTCCATTTATGCACAGTAAGTAAAAAAATTCATTAATGTAAACACAAAAAAATTACAATTTGCTTCCTTTCAGTGAAGATGAACATATTATTGTTTGTTATTACAATGCATGAAAGGAAAAGGGAAGTCCATCAAAAGCCGCTTATTCACCAGTTATATTAACTGGTGATGGTCTAGCTGTATGACCAAGAATGAGAGATATCTTGGACAGCAGTCAAGAAACACTAAAAAATACTGAAAAACTATGGATGCTAGGCATGTTGCATTGATGCTCATTACAATGAGTAAAAATAGCATGTTACATACATTCGTACCTTTTGTACACAATTAATAATAAACATTTATTTAATTTTAACAATGAGATTCACAAATATGAAACTAGAGTCCTCAGTAATTTATGTTTACCTGCAGTTAACCTAACAAAATACAATAAAGGTGCTTACATATCAGGTATTAAAGTTTTTAATCATCTTCCTCAAACAAAAAAATGTTGGCTATTGATGTGAGAAGTTTTAAATCTGCATTGAAGAGGTTTTTATATCATCATTCTTTTTATTCCATGAATGAATATTATCAATATTGTCACATGTTGGTTGTATCATGTGACAAATAACTTCACACCATTTTGGATCTAGCGAATTTATTGAACACTCGCTCTCACATTTACACAATTCACAATTTACCAGTTACTGCCATCGGCAGCATTGCAATTACATCTTCTGCTGTAGTCACTGCTATTCACTCGATACACTCAATAACAATGGACTTCAACTCACTCCAGTGAATGCTAGAGTGCAACCGACTTGGCAACTTCACAATCCACAGTGTGCCACTCCTGATCACACACACTCTGCTCACAAACTGCCCAGCTGGCTCTTTATACCGTTCCCTGTTGCCTCGTTTTACCAGCGGTGTCCCCTTGTTATGTCACAGTGGGAAGTTCTGTTACCTCACTGTGGGGGTGGGGGACGGAGTGTTGACTGGTCTGTTACTGTATCAGCGGCAGTTGCTCTTCTGTTACATCACCGCAGAGGAGGGGATATTTGCCGAACGTTGTGTAATGATGGAAGGAGTGAGGGTATGTGATGTCACTCGCAAGACCGTAAAGTTCACATGACCCCTACTTCCTGTTGCACCATCCACATCATAATATAATTGGTTATAAGTGTGTAAATTTGTAATGCATTTAATTCGGTTAATATAGGTAATTTAAATAAAATTGTATTAATTCAAGTTTTATAGTAAGTTATTTTTAAATTGTCTTATTAAATATTTTACTTTATATTATTATTTATGTTAATCGATTAATATAAGTGATTTTGATTATGTGACTTGTGTAATTTTGTATATGTATCTTGATATATCTATTTTCAATGGGACCATTTTCACGTCCAAGGTTTGTTACCTGTATGGATATATGGAAATTAAAGGAAATGGGTGGATGAATGAATGAATGAATGGATGAATGAGCAGTGTACCTGCTTGAGAGTTTACAGTATGAAGAAGGTATTAAAATATTACATTAATGTGTATACAATTTCATTTAATCTTCAAGAGAGAGATAAAATAAATATTTGAACATATTCCTCATGTGAGATTGAGAGCTATACCTGTGACTGCAAGACAGACTTCATGTACATTAGTCAATACAAGCAATGAAATGTGTCCTGCTTGAATATTATGGCTGCTGAGAAATTAGTAAATACAGAAACTATGAAAAATAGAGATAAATAAATAACCCATATAAGTAATGTACAGGATATCTTTGGTGTGAATTATATACAAGCAGCAACTCTGATGTCATCACATTTTTTTCTTCTGGCAGGGAGACAATGGGGAATTCACATACCAACTTGATGACCCCAGTCAGGCCTTCATAATTGATGCTCGGACAGGGTGGCTGACTGTTAGAGACCAAAGTATGCTGGACAGAGAAAAGCAGCCTTCTTTAGGAATGAGAGTCTATGCAAAGGAGAAGGTTCCTAGTGTAGTGAAGAAGCCAGACAATAGTAGCTCAGAAGCGTCAGTTACTGTAGAGGTCACAGTGCTTGATGCAAATGATAATAACCCAATCTTCATGCCCAGCAACTTATATGAGTTCACTGCAGAAAGTGATGCTCGCGTTGGGGATGTTATTGGGCAGGTAGGTGTGTTCAAAATGTGCTATCTTTAATTCTTTCTATACATATCTTCCATAGAGTGAAAGCAGTATCTTCATATGATTGCTGTCCCTTGATTTGGAAAAGGAAACAAGTTAAAATAGGCATACAGAATAGCAAAAGATGTAGGTGATATCATTACCTTGCAGGATTTGAGGTCGTCACAGTGGTGAATATTACCTTGTTTATATCATAGCTAAGAAAATGTGATTGAACAGTGGCAGAATTAGATAAAGTTTGTTTACTGATGTAAGATTATATTCTTTTCTTGCATCCAAAGGAAACCTTTCAGAGTCTTTTCTTTTGTCTGAAATTGTGTTTCAAATTCTGCTGTTGCATACAGGTAAAAGCTACAGATCCTGATCTTGGTCGAAATGGAATGGTGTTATATGATCTGCAACGCTCAAGCAATGGGTCATCAAGTATGAGTCCATTGCCATTTACTGTGGATGCCCAGAATGGTCAGGTGCTTGTTATTGATTCCCCTCTGGGTGAGGGACGCCATGCTTTGTTTATTGAAGCATCAGATCAGCCAGCTAATCCAAGTGAGAGGAGGTACTCATTGGCAGTTGTAACCATTGATGTGCTGAAAGCAGGAAGCAAAGGTACCTTCACATTTCATTGCATAGTGTTAACTTCCTTTGAATATCATACAGGTACATCTATGTTATTTCTACTATCAGGGTTTTGTTATAATCATCTTCCTATGGAGTATACAATTTATGGTTATACATATGGTTTTATAAGTTTATATGTTACATGATCGTCACAATATTTAAAATCAGTTGTCTCCACAAAATATGGTTTGTCATTTCACATTTGTGTGTTGTACTATAGAATCATACATACTGTATGCTAACAGCTCCATTCTGGGGATGAAAAACAAATTCTACTTTCACCAGGGTGAAAAGTAAGAGCAGAGATTTCTGTGAAGAGTACCATCTGCTAGAATACGATACCATATATTCCCCTGAAAGTGAATCAACATTTCAGAGGAACATATCATCCCTCTCTTCAGAGTCAGAGAATAAGCCAATCCTGAAGGTGAATGTGGTGTGTCCCTCCAAAATGTCAGTTGACATCCACTGGACTACACAGTCTGATATTCCAAAAGAGAGAACTACACTTCATAGTCGCTGTCGGGAAAATGTCAAATATTCTAAATTGTTTTTCTTTCTACTCTACTTCCATTTTCATAAGCTTCCATACTTTTTCAGAAGATAACAATTTATGACATGAGTAATACCATTCATATATAGAAGCCATAAGTTTTGTTATCAGTAGAAACTGTATTAACCTTTTAGAGAAAAGTAGTATCATCTGCTTTCACATTACTTAACCTCGCACTTTACACATAGAAAGTGTATTAGTGAGTTTTGTATGATCCTCAGAATAAACCACAATTATTTCACTAGATAGCATTAAACAGCTTGTCTCTGTGATGGCAACATAGTTTATTTTGTGTATGGTAGAAACTGATGTTCTAAATATTATATAGATAAACTTCATGTTTCAAAAGTTTAAATAGCTAAGTAATTACATGGAACAGAGTTCTTGAGATGCTAGCACCTTCTCAGCTATTCAAGGAATTTCATACCTTCTATGCAACACAGTTGTTTGTCATATACTCACAAGCTCACCACTGGCCCCTGTCAGGAGCTATCTGAGTCCACAGTATAAATTCTGGCCTTGTATAATTATGAATAATTTTAATATTTTTATGAGTATCTATACCTTTCAAGAGGTCTTATTTCTGTGCATCTGTTCATCACAAACTCATGCTGTGCTAGTGGAAGATCTCTGCAAAAAACATCTACAACTGATCAGAAATTAGCTGCCTCCATATCTGAATTTTCCAAAATTTGTAATTTTATTTTTGTTGAGATAATTTCAAATGTTGCATTAGATGAACAAAACTATGATTATCTTCCCCATACTTACAGGATGCAGATAGTTATATGAGAAGAGACAGGTAGCCTCTAAACAGAACAAGCACTTAGAAAAGACAAATAAGGAGAACAATTCTATCTCTCAAATTATTAGCACAAAGATATCTGGACACTACATAATTGTTTCTGTGCAGTGCACACATCACATATGACTTACGAGCAGCTGTCAGAAAGGAGTGTGCTTAATTTTTCCTGTTTTCACATCTGTCTGTTTCTCTCTATTATTTTTTGGGGTTGATTAATTCTCTTGTCAATTAAAGAGTAGCTGCCTAAGACATGGGCTAAGCTTCCACAGATTTGGTTTTCTATAGATGCTAAATATTTTATTTTCGCTTGTAGCATGTCTTGTTGGCATTTCGATAGTCTTCTGCACTGTTTATGCCAACCATTATATTTTCTGTTATGCAGTTTTTCTAGCATTTGTTGCTTATTTGTATTTATTGTCAAAATTTACGCCATGGAACAACTTATATATCTAGAGATTCACATTCTCATACTCATTGATGACAGCTGGATATACAAAGGCTGGATTATATAATATACACTGATATTTCTTGCAAGGGATACCATTTTTCCTCAAAAATTAAGATTTAAAATTCCAGTAAAAGAGGTTAACATAACATTATTTGTAACATGAATCTAATCAGTAGAACTTAGATGCGAAAGAATTTTAAGGGGAAGTGTTAAGCCCCATCTCTCCAGTGTTAATCCATCATATTAAGATATATTTTCTAAAAACTATAAACTTTACAGACTTGAAACTGTGTACAAAAGTATCAAGAGTTTTCTGTATGCAACAATATAAATCCTGAAACCCAGTAATTCCAAAATTAATATACTTTTAACAGACATTTAAGAATTTTTCATGTAAGAGATGATTTCTTTCAGCATTATTTAACGAAAATCACATATTTGTTTGGCTGAAGGTATATGTCAGACACAGAAGTTCGAGTGAGAAGTCTGAGACAGAAAACAGACAGAGAAATCAGAAGAAGAAGTCAGAAGTTAGAAGTGAAATCTGTAACCTTTAGAGTGTCATCATTTTTTGTAGTTATGAAGTGTTATAATTACACCTGGTGAACATTCAATAAATTGACTCACTGAGGCAATCCTGCATCTAGTCACTAATACACATGGCAATACATTTAATCTAAGATACTTTTACTGTACAAATATGTAAATGGACTCATTGTGTCCAACCCAATTATCTCAATATCCGAAAGATTTGCAAAATATTATATTGAATGCAAAATGTGTATTTATTTTTTCTCTACCATGTTTGTTGCAAACATTTACCAAGCTACATTACAAATATGCACAGAACTGCCAGTATAACTATGTGCAAAGTTGCTGTTAAAATTGTCTAATCCCAATTAAATTTAACATGGCACAAGAATTTCTTACACAGTTATCCAATATCAAATTTCATGAAAACCCATCTAGAATTTCTAAAATTATTTTTATGTACATACAGACAAGCGTTGGACTAAGTTACTTAATAGGCACTCTGTAGGTTATAATCCACTAAGATGTGTGCAAGTGAGCTGCAAACCAGAAAACCCATGTGCAGATAATCGTGAGTATGCAGTACGTTTGGTCACCACCACAGAAGTATATAGAATTGCTGATTATTATTCATATTTGGCAGTTGCCTACTAACATAACATACTACCATACTTGCTAGTATAATACAAAAATTAAAGGTATATCTCTAATAATAAATAAATAAACAATACACTCTGAAAATTTGTGTATCTATGCTTTAAATCATTACAGTGCATGCCAACTATAACTGTTGTTCTAGGCAAAGGTGATGAAGTGCCAGATTTTGTTGGTGCCCCTTACGAATTCTGGGTTGGTGGTAATGTTGGCGTGGGAACCAGTGTTGGTCAAATCCGTGTAACAGATGCTGTTGAAAAAACTCACATTGGATTTGACTTGCTTCATAGTTATCATGATGGTGGTAAGGGTTACAAAGTTTGAACATGTACTAGAAATGAAACTGCATTAAAATAAGATGTGCAAAATGAACTTTATCAAACATAACCTTAACTTTCAGATATGGTGAAGCAGGCTGCAAAGGATTAATGCTTTCTCCTGTACTATAGAAACAGTTATATTGTGGTAATTTTATCATCAGAGCTTCATTTTTTAAAATAGAATGCGGCCTCTGAAGGTGAGATTCCAATTATGGAAGAAACACATGGCTCACCTTGCACTCATATCAAATTTTGTAAATATTTTCTGTAACTGTATCATTTCCAGATATCTCTAATACAATTTTCAACAGATTAAATGTGCCAAATGGAAAGGAAGGAAACTATGGAAAGTGAGGATGCAGAAAAAATATATAAAGAAGGAAAGAAAATTTTAGAAGATGTTGATCAAGGAGACCTGCAACACCTTCCCATCACTTCATCATCCAGTGGAATCTAGGAATATTCACTATAGCATCATTGGAATGTCTCCATACAATCCCTCTGGTTTAGTTAGGTCATAATTAATTCAGATAGTCTCCTATTTTTTTTTTTATAATGGACACTTAAATCATCAGTGAGTGCTTGTTCACATGAGGCTGTGCCATAGCCCAGGCTGTTACATGCAGTCTTCTCATCATGGGGCATCATGTTCAATAATCATTTATCACTGTCGCCTGCAATGTGTGATATTCATGTCCAGGCAGCATATTACCACATCCTCAGTCTCTAAGTTTGGGGCTTCATCTTTGACCCTACATTTGGCTGATCACATAGCTAGGAATGTTCTCTTTTCATATTTGTTTATTTGCATATTCATTTATGTTGACAAGTAAAAGCTGCTGATCAATATATGAGTAAATAGGAAGTTTCTTCAAAATTCAGAGAATACCAACCTGAATATGAATATTAGGATATTTGGAAAGTGGTCATAGGGGTACCTGGATGTTGAATGAAAAGGATATCATCTTGTCTCAGGAGTCTGATTCAAGAGATCAATTTTGCATCCCGAAGAAAGGAAGTTACCAGTAATTCAGGTTCAAATACAGGAAGCAATTTTGTTATAAATATTTGTTATGTGGATCCATCAGCAACATCAAGAGCATGTTCATCACAAATTCCTGAAAATGTCTTGTCACTAGGACTTAGCCCTTTAAAGCACACTGGCAACTATATATACCACCATTAAGCCATCCGTAAAATTACGTTTTACTTTTTAAGGCAATCAGCAAAACTTTGTGGTGACTGATATTTTTATTTAAACATCCACTACATGATATGATCTTTATTTTTAGGGCATCTACAGGTGGTAAAATTTTGGAAGTTTTAATTAGTGAAATTTTTTGCTCTGTTTTCTACCTTATTGAACGTGGATCCAGTGTTCCATAACTTTACATTTCTCTTGCATCGTTTTAATTGTCAATGGGACAGAAAGATTAATGTAAATTTATAGAACAATGGGTTCATGTTCAATAAAGTGGAAAACGGAGCAAGAAGAAACACTATTTAACGTTTTTGACTGATACTGTGCCACGTGAAAATTACTTAGAAGAATGTCAGAACTTGCAGTGGATTTTTAAATAGAATCATTGGACAACCCAAGCTGTGTTGATGGTCTTAAAAGTTAAAATATAATTTTTCTGATAGCTTAATACAAAATACAACAGAATGCAAAAAATTGAAGATTTCCCATTATAAGATTTAAAAGTCTATGACCACGTGATGTGAGTTATTGGTCCGAAGATAGGTACCAGCTCTATTGAATAGGTCCAACTGAGTAGGTTCCACCTAAAGTCGGAGATAGAATCCAGTCTCTGAAAGATTGTGTATTTCAAATATAAACAGAATGATGGATAGTGTCCAGGAACAGAGTAATTGTACAATTAGGCTTAAAGGTTAAGTTAACGTTAAAAGGTTCTGCATTTTCCCTATTTATTAGTGACTGTATGATTTCCAGAATAGTAGCAATTATACAGCATTATTTATTTGATATTTGTAATTAAGTACATAAATAATACTAAAATGAAATTCCTGCTTCATATTGTTGGATTGCCTAGTACATTGTAAAATGCACATTCTTCAGGAAAAAATATATTTCTGTTATGGGTTGTTGTGGTCTCCAAGCATGCTCACACTCGTGAAGCAAGGCAAGGGGAAGCTTTATAGATCATTTGCATGTAATATGTTGCAGTTCCCTTTGCTGTGGAGGAGCGATCAGGAACCATCACAGTGGTGGATAACATTTCCAAGTTTGAACAGCCTTTGTATGATTTTGAAGCTGTTGTAACAGATGGACAAGACCTGACACTGGTAACAAATGTGTCGATCCACGTGGTTGATGATGAAAGAGTAATAGGCACCAAGTAAGAATCTAGATTATTAATACTAAATTTTGCAGAATGTTTGGAATTAACCTCATTTTCAGTCATCTTTGATAGTCATCAGAGCTAATTTCATGATGATTATGTCCAAATTTTGTCCCTGATGTGAACGATAACAGAATATATGGAATAAAAGCTGTTTCACTGCCAGCATGCACAGTGACGATTGATGTCCTTTGGGGATGGGTGCAAATAGACCTGCATTTGTACCATTTCCTCACATATGTTCTTTTGTGTGTGTGAGGAGTCAATGTATGTTTGTTCCATGTAGATGATAAGGCACCCTTCACTTCTGTAATGCCTTATATGTATGTCAGTTTTGCTACAAGAATATCATATTTTTGATGATAAATTTTCAGTTAACCTCCGATTTCCTCCACCTGAAGCCTAAATCTCTAAGTGTTTTTTAAAGAGCCAATTTTATGCCACAAAAATTAATATTTTTCTTGGGTATTGTTAACAACAATGTTAAAATAGGTTGTTCACTTTTTGCAAGTATAGTGTGAAATTCGTTAATTGCTCTTTGAATTACACATCTGTCAAAATCATCTGTGTCAGTTTTAAATTTCCTTTTTGGTCATTTTTTGTGAAGTGTGCTGAATTATTTCCATGCTTCTTTATGATGTTCATACTTACTTACTTGCTTACTCATGGAGCTGAGCCCTTCTGGAGGAGCCGCCAATTCTGCAGCTACTCAAGAATTTCCCAGCATTTTAAGGAACCCGAAGATTCATTACAATGTTCAAAAGAGCTGTCCACTGATCCCTATCCTGAGCCAGATCAGTCCAGTCAATACCACCCCATCCTATCTCTCTAAAATCCATTTTAATATTGTCCACCCACCTACTCCTTGGTCTTCCCAGTGATATCTTTCCTTCTGGCTTTCCCACCAATATCCTACACACATTTCTCGTCTCCCCCATTCGTGCTACATGCCCTGCCCACCTCATTCTCCTTGACTTGATCATTCTAATTATACTTGGAGAAGAGTACAAGTTATGAAGCTCCTCATTATACAGTTTTCTCCAACCTCCTGCCAGTTCATCCCTCTTCGGTCCAAATATCCTCCTCAACACCCTGTTTTCAAACACCCTCAGTCTATGTTCCTCCCTTAATGTCAGAGACCAAGTTTCACACCCATACAGAACCACAGGCAAAGTATAGTTTTGTATATTCTAATTTTTATGTTTTTGGACAGAAGAGAAGAAGACAAAAGTTTCTGGACTGAATGGTAGCAAACTTTACCAGAGTTCAATCTCTTCTTAATTTCCTCCTGAATCAGGTTTCGCTCTGTTATCGTTGTCCCAAATATCTGAATTGTGCCACATTTTCAAAACATCTGTTTCCAATCTTTATATCATGATTTTGCCCTGCATTTTGGTGACAAGACAGCTGCACCTGCTCTCACTGTCTCTTTGCTTGCGGATTTTCTTATTTTTACTTCTACCCTGAAGATGGAGGTGATACGTTCCTTGAAACGTCGGTTAACACCACATCTACATGGTGCCACATCCCAGAAGACTGCTTTCTTCAACCTATACTTAGTTTTCTTAGTGTTTACTTCTAGACCAACCTCTTTACTTGTGTCAGTTAAAGTTTGTGTGTTTTTCTTTATGGTATCTACATTATCACCCAGTAGATTCACATCATCAGCATAGGCCAACAGCTGATGTGTCCTGTTCAATTTCAGTCCCACCTGATTTCCCTGGACCTTCTTAAAGGCATATTCTAAGACAAAGTTGAAAAGGAGTGTCGTTCATACTCTTTTAAAATGCATTTTAGAGTATTTCAGAACAAACCAGTAGCTCCAGAAACACGTTTTTATCTGATTAAATTTAATCACCTTGCCACTGTTACCTTCTTCATTCATAAAAATGTAAACACCTATCACCAGTTCTCTGTCCTGCTTTTGCCTTAAGCCTTTGCCTTCTTGCATTCTATTCAGGCTGAGTAGAAACAACAGTGAAAATGACAGTTCCAATTATAAACAGACCAATGTTATTCAGATGTAGCTAGCATATGTTCCTCCAGACCTACTATAAATATTGGTAATGAGAATGGTAAATCTTTAGAATCACCATATGTGGAAAAACGACTGCCATGTTTCTATCAGTTTAGATGAAATAAGAATTGCATATCCTTCGAGCAACTGTACCCTTCATAAACATTGTTCTGGAGCCATTATGTGTTTCAAAAGCCAGTTGACTTCAGGTAAAATAAACTGAATATATTATGGTCATATTAAGAGGAGAACTGGTTACCTCATGACGTCCAGTGCTGGTTCTTCCATTGTAAATACATGCATACTGCTGATCAGAATTTACTGATATTGAAGCTTGGACTATGGACCAAATTTTATATCTTAAGTCTGAATAAAACGGTGACTCTGTGCAAAAGAAGGAATGAGAGACAAAGCTCTCGAGATTAATGCTGAAATTGTTTGTCATTTATACGTCCTTCTTTTTTGCTACTTTAAGGGGACCACCCATTGAATTTCGAGTCCGAGAGAATTTGTCTGGGGCCCTGGTGGGACAGTTGTTGAACCAGAGCAAAGAACAGAATTCATCTGATGTGAGTCGCTGGAAATCATTACATTTTATTATTGCAAATCAACAAGATGTAACTGACCGATTTGCAGTATCACAAGATGGTACAATTTATACCCAACATGGACTGGATCGTGAAGAGAGAGACATCTATCGACTCACTTTAATTACCGAAAATAGTCGAGGATTGATACGAGGTGCTGGAGTGTATCAGGTGAATACATAGAAATGCCATGTCAAGCTTATTCATAAATTCTAGAACAAAAAGTGAATTACTGTGCAAGAATTTGCATGAGAAAATGACTCTGTAGTCCATAGACATTATCACAGAGTGAAGGATATGCATTTAATTTAGAGTTCTGATGTCATATTTTCTTGGATTTTGCTTCTATAAAAGTTTTAATTAGATTTTCAGCAGATAGAGACAGGGTCACTGTGGACATGAGTGCTGTCTGGGTGATGAGAAATTATGTATCTATCCTCCTCAGTTGAAAGTGTATCAGGTTTCTCAAAACATCATCATATTTGACATCATAATTTCCAGATTCTGATCAAAATTCTCATCAGCCATAATTCTTATAGAGTTTTATTTGCATTGTTGCAGAACTTGTTTACATGGCTCATAATTTATGGTCACTTTATGAATTCATTAGCAGCAGAAATTAGTTACAATTTGATTTTAATCAAAAAGAAAATGGAGGCCAAGAGTTTTATTTGCACTGTTGCATAACTTGTTTACATGACCCATAATTAATGGTCACTATATGAATTCAGTAGCAGCAGAAATTAGTTACAATTTAATTTTCATCAAAAGGAAAATTGAGGCCAAAGAATACTGTCATCTGAAATGTGACAGTATATATACTCTGGAAGAAGTTCACTGATATCTCTCTGAAACAGTGATGAATGTCTATCAGAGTATAGCGTATCCCAGAAAGCAGTACATTTCACAGTTAGCCCAAATCTCAAAAATAGGGGGTGGTCTTAAAATGTGTTGCCCCTAAAATGGTGCTGCTTCAGGTGGCTGCTTGGTCAAACTGTGCTGTTGTACTGTCTCCATATTCTACATTAGACAAAATCCAAATTCTAGGAAAGCTGATCATGGTATGTAAGTAAATGTAGTGAATGTTATGCATACTTTGGTATATAAGACATAGTGCTATGTATATATGTAAAACTATTGCTACTTTACATGCAGGTGAATGTCATAGTTGAAGATGAGAATGACAATGCCCCCGTGTTTGAGCGTCCCACTTATGAGGGTCACGTTGAAGAGAATTCTCCAGGAGGTACTGAAGTCACACTCAATCACCTGATACGTGCTACAGATGCAGATGTTGGACATCATGCACAATTCACATTCACACTTCATGGAGAAGGCAGTGAATTGTTCACTGTCGATCAGGCTTCTGGACGAGTGTTTGTTAAAGGACTGCTACTGGATCGAGAGGAGAAAGCACTATATATGTTGAGAATTGTAGCCAGGGACAAGGGTAAGATCCTGTGTATGAGCATAAATGCTCAAATCTTAAGAATGACTCCATGCCTTTGGAGTAAACGTAACTTAATTGGCTAGCTGCAGACTGGACATGTCCAATGGCTCAGACATTAACACTAAAATCAGTACTTTGTTATGAGATGTTGCAAGAATCATGAAGTTCGTTAAAGACATGAGTACCTCATGTTCAATGTGCCAAGAGGAAATTACTTATTTGAAAGAGTACATATTTGTTGCTAGTCTCATCACCAGATGGGTTGAAACTTACCATGTCAGTGCCAATCTTGTCAATTGACTGGCTGTTGCCACTGTGTACCAAAATACCATTTTGTCCTTCAGATGAAGATAAATTTTAGGTGTAGTGTAATGAAGCTTTGAAGAGTGTATACAGGAGGGATTCTTGATCATTTATCACCTGTAACCTTCAGTTTCTGTTTTGAAAATAATGAGTTCACAGTCCCGGTTTTTGAAAGGGTAGCTGGACCCATAAGGAAGAAATATCTGTGCAGGAGCATAGCAACAAATATATTATTGCTTTATATGCAGTTTTATTCTTTACTGCATAATGAGGAGCTTCATAACTTGTACTCTTTTCCAAGTATAATTAGAATGATAAAGTGAAGGAGGATGTGGTGAGCAAGTCATGTAGCATGAATGGGGGAGACAAGGAATGCATATAGGATATAGGTGGGAAAGCCAGGAGGAAAGAGACCACAGGAAAGACCAAGGCGTAGGTGGGTGGTCAAAATTAGAATAGAACTTATAGAGATAGGATGGGATGGTATGTATTAGATTGATCTGGCTCAGGATAAGGACCAGTGTAGGGCTCTTGTGAATATGGTAATGAACCTTCGGATTTTATAAAATGCTGGAAAATTCTTGAATAGCTGCAGAATTGGCGGCTCCTCAAGAAGGGCTCAGCTCCATGAGTAAGTAAGTAAGTAAGTAAGTAAGTAAGTAAGTTAAATGATATAAACTCTGTCTCAAGTGCAAACAATATATTTTGTGTCTTTGATCTTGCTTCCCCACACTACATGTTTCGTCCTCAGACGGCCATTATCAGGTGTATAACAGTCACGTCGCTGTCACACTGCACCCAGCTCAAAATTTAACATCTAAAACACTCTCCCTGTCATTATCAACTTCCAATCCGTTGATAGCTTATTATTCTTTATTACGTAATAAAGAATAGCAGCGGCACGCACACAGAAAGACTACACAGGATAACAACTATACAGTGTGGAAACAAGAACTAGCCGCTGCAGCACTTTAAACATAGGGCGATTAACCCTAATAATTTAAAATTTTAAAATTTGGAGAAAGAATTAAAAGTTTTAAAATTAGAACTAAAGATTTTATTATGGTGCCATTACAATGAAGTAAAATTAACGTGTGTGAAATAATCTACGAGCCAGACAGCTATCAACGGATTGGAAGTTGATAATGACAGGGAGAGTGTTTTAGATGTTAAATTTTGAGCTGGGTGCAGTGTGACAGCGACGTGAGTGTTATACACCTGATGATGGCCGTCTGAGGACGAAACATGTAGTGTGGGGAAGCAAGATCAAAGACACAAAATATATTGTTTGCACTTGAGACGGAGTTTATATTATTTATCATATAGAGTGCAACAGGATGCTTAAATATAATAAAGTAAGTAAGTGGTTACAGTTGTTAGTCCATTCATCTACCAAGACCCCCCCCAAAATTATAATTCTATGGTATGTGTTAAAATATTTGCACATATTTTTACCATAATTAAATGTAATAGATGTCATTTCTGTTTTCTTTCTTCCAGGTAACTTAAAATCTGAAGCAAAGCTCTTGATTCATATTGATGATTTGAATGATAATCCTCCAAGATTCTGGCAGATGGTCGTACTCCATGATCAAGATGTGGAAATCACACAGTCTGCTGCTTCCACCACCCAAGAACAATATAGAAACATAAGTATAACCAGTTCAGATCTCCGCCATACAGAATCTGTTATAACAATGAATTTCACAGAACATCGTAATTTGCCACCTGTAGTTTCAATCTTGGAGAACACTCCAGTAGGAACAGCTATCTTGCGTGTACTTGCAGGTGACAGAGATGCGGGAATTAATTCTACAGTTACTTACAAGTTAACAACAGAGTCACATTATCCAACTCAGAGACATTCTGCCAAAAACTACTTTACAGTTCAATCACAGAATGGTGAAGTTTTGGTAGCACGGACTTTACTTCCAGAAACAGACTTCTTCTTGAATATAACGGCAACTGATGGTGGTGGCCTAATGGATAATATGACAGTCAGAATTCATGTGAAGGATGTTAATGATCATGCTCCAGTCTTCAAAAAATCATGGTACAATTTTGATTTGGAAGAAGGTTTTCACTCTGGAAGAATTGTGGGCACTATCGAAGCAACAGATGCAGACTATGGAAATAATGCAAAATTAATTTATGGCATCCTTCAGAATGAACAAGATGATGTGGCAGTGTTTCCCTTTAGAATATCTGAAAATGGCGGGATTTTGACTGTTACTGGCGAGACAGATCGTGAAGCTCGTGATTCATATACCTTCCAAGTCACAGCACGAGACAGTGGTCCAGTAAATAATCAAAAACGCAGCATGGTTGATGTTGAAATTCATATACTGGACGTAAATGATAATGCCCCAACATTTTATGACTATGACAAAGTAATAGAGATTCCTTCCCAAATTCAAGGTAATGAAACTTATTATTACAATTTTTCTGAATCATCTCTGCCCGTACCAGTGTACTATGCATCAGTGCCTGAAAATAGTTCACCAGGTACGGTGGTTACGAAACTCTCTGCAAATGATTCTGACTTCCCTGGAAATGGAAATGGGCTACTACTGTTCAATATCCCTCACCCAAATCAAAATGGTGAAAACTTATTTTCCATTGACTCCAAGGATGGCACGGTAATGACAATTGGAAAACTAAACTATGAGGCTCAGAACTTATATAACATAACAGTTGTTGCTTCAGACCTGGGAAACCCTAGCCTAAGCTCTGTAGCACTTCTGATTGTCAGGCTAATAGATGTTCCAGAGGAGGTAGAAGAATTAAGAGAGCCAATGTTTGCACACCGTTACTATGAGGTGGAGGTTGAGGAGAACTCAGTGGTTCCTCTGTCGCTGCTAGTTTTAAATGTCACAGAAACCTACAAAGTGCAAAGTCTGAAGTATAGTATTGTGCCATCTCCAGGAAGTGATACATTTAAAATATCATCAAGCAATGGTACCTTGTACATGGTATGTAGTCCAGACAGAGAAAAACAAGCAAGGTACAGTCTGAAGGTGAGGGCAGAAGTAGCAAAAAGAAGCCGTGGATTGCCTGTGATATTGTACCCAATGGCTGCAGGAAGACTGGCTGACCTTGGTGAGCACAGTTGGTAGAAATGTCAGTTAACAACATTCATGTATATGCCTCTAAGTATCATGTAGATAAGTGGAAAAATGTTTGTGTACTTTTACCAACATCCCTATAAGCTGGGGAGTTCTATCTTCTAGGTTATAATGCCATGTACTCCATTAAAAGTCAACTGATGTACCACAGGAACATATCGCTTCCATCTTCAGGGTCAAAGGATAAGACAGACAAGAAACCAACAAGAAGCAGACATCAGGCAATTAGAATGTCAATTGAATTTTCTGCAAACTGTTATATCCCAGAAGGTAGAACTCTTCATAATTACTGCTGTGAGACCCTCAATTTCTGCATCCCTATGACTCATCTTCAATCCCTAATCACTGTCATGTACTCAACTAACTAAGTCCATAAAGCAGAAATTGATAATTGCTTTGCTAGTCAATAAATTCTCAGCATTTTGTGAAGGCTGATTATCATGTTCACAGGGGCATGCCACTAGTCCCCTATCCTGTGCCAGATGAATCCAGTCAACATGCACCCATTCATCTATGTCTGGGTCTTCCAAATGGTCTCCTTACGGTTTTCTTACCCAAAACTTTGTATGCATTTCCCTTCACATCTATCCATGCTACATGCCCCAGCAATCGTATCTTCCCTGATCTTATAATCCTAATATTTTGGGAGGGGTAGAGGGTCATCTTAAACTGAACTGAAACTAAAATTGATGAATTTTTACTTGAAATATTTTGTAATAACAAAATCAATAATTATACCGGCATTTCTTGGCCAGTATCCAGAAAATGATGACCACAGGGAGGAGTACCCATAATCTGTGTCACTATATCACTGGTAAATATTCACATTAATATAAGGAAATAACAATGAGAAACTATTAAAAGCAGTTGTGTGTTTCCATTAGCGTGATGCAATAATGGTGTTCTTCATTTATATTTCTCAAAAATGCTGTAAATAGAAAGGACCAGTATGATCAACAGTCAGTCAATAATTCATTATAAAACTTAATTTTAAAATAATATAAACTAAGAGAAATACTTTCAATCCATTTATTCAGAATTTAAAAAGCTATACAGAACTGATTGCTGGATTGGTTTCTGCCATCAAATTCACAAGGTATAAAAATAAATGTAAATTAGTCTACTTCAGTCACCTGCAAGCTGTCTAAGGAAATTACACTTCTCAAAATTGTTACTTTAAAAATGTGTATAGGAGGTATAATTAAGAGAGTAAAGAATTGTACAAGTCATTTCTTGGTCTTGGAGAGTCATTTCTGTTTTTATGTATCAATGCTAAAGGACAACAAATCTTTATTGTTCCCACAACCATTTCTTCTTGATTTCTTGCTAGTTCTTTTCTCTCTTCCTGATGTCATCCAGTCCCTGGCTGAACCAGCTTGTTATGCGTCATCACACAGGTCTTTTTCCTTTAAATTTTAATTTTAATGTCCTTCTCAGTATCCTTGTTCTCTATGTGCTCTTTACGTGCTAACCCAGTCTAAACACTTCCCTTTTAACTCTGATAAAGAATTTTGTGCTCAGTTTCTCCTCTTTATCTTATCTGAAGTGTTCAAATTTTCATTGCACACTTAGGTTTTGCTACAGGTAAAATATTTATTTACAAACTGCACATAAATTACGTATATGTGTGTTTAATTTTGAAGTTGAGATTATCTGATAATTTTATTTCAAAATTTCAGCTCCCAATGAGATCAGAATTATAGTTCGTATAAAGGATGTAAATGATAATGCCCCAAGATTTATAATAAATGGACGTCCAATTGTAGCAGCCATACCAACCACAGCCACTTATGGATACCAGATAGTTAGACTACAGGTAAGCTACGCTTCAAGAGAGGCCTACAAGTTTCTGATGATTGTGGGTTATAGTAAGCATGACTATTGGTTTGGACACTGTCAGTTGTCTCCATTTTCTTTCAAACACAATGTTTTGAAAATTGCATCTATTTCTGTCTTGAGTATAAGACGAGAAAGGTCCCTAGTCAGTTGAGCCAATGAAAAAGAGCATTCAATCACTGATTATGCTGATATTTTGGCATTATATTTGTATACTATTCGTTAAATTAATGCTTTCATAAGGTTCAGTATTTGGATATAAGTAGTATAAACTCATGTGTTTTCATTTCATGTCTTTGCATTAGAAAATTATGTTCCAAAAAAAAAAAAGGAACTTTTCCATATTTGTATTACTTTACTCTTTGTCCATACTTTTAACACCCAAGGGCATGAAGTTCATATGTATATAATGTTTAAAACTATGTTTTCTATCTCAAAGAAAACACACTGTTGAAAATCCAGATGATTGTTTAGTGGAAATGATCACTTCTTATTCTGAGATTCCTACAAAACACAAATAAGCTCGCCGGACAAACTGCAGAGTTTCTTAGTGTTTAAGCAGGTAGTATATATAATAACCATTGTACTATAAAGTGTTAAAATGCACACTAACTGGTCTGGCAATCTTATTCAAATTACGTAGTTGATGAAGAATGCCTGTGAAAGTCAGAGGAGTAAGATTTATGGCATTACTGTTTGACCTTCTTGCATAATAGTGTTAGGACACAACAGATTATTTCAATAAAATTTATAACCAAGCATGCAAAGGTTAACATTAATATCCACATGCTGAACTCCACATCACAAATTGTAGAATTTATTGTATGGAATGAAAATTAGAAAAATTAAGTACTTAAATATTATTTAAAAATTACCAAGCCAGTTGGATAATGAAAGAGCACTCTTAATTTTTATTCAAGAGAGCCTGGTTCAAATTTTGGTTTGATCACAAAATTCCCGACCTTTGATTTGTATGGTTTTCCTCAGTCCCTCTATACAGTTGCTAGGCTCTCTCCATTTGGCCATGCCAGTTTCATTCCACGTTTTTTCCAATTTATTATTAAGTAACCACCCTACAATTTGACACTATACAATCTGAGATACTGACACTCTCATCACAAAACTATACATAAATAAATACATATTTTAATCCAACTCTCCATTATTGTTGCAGCAAATGATTCACGTAATGATTGTGTTACAGGCTACTGATCCCGATGAAGGACTCAATGCAGACATACGATACCAGATCTTGGGAAGGGTAGATGATGAGTCCCGCAAGTTTGTCATTGATCCCATCACCGGGCAGGTTCGCAGTATTGTTAGTTTTGCATATGATGCTGGTCGTGTGTATGGCTTTGATGTAAAAGCCACAGATAGAAGAGGTGCAGATGATGGAAAGTCAGCAATCACAAATGTCTTTGTAAGTGTCAACAGGCATTTTATAAATTGTTTATATGCAGGTTGCAGAGAAAGTTATAAACTCATTTCAATTGAAAATAAATAAAAAGGGCCGGAAGTTTGGCAAATAGATATGTACATTTTATGGAGTCTTCTTCAGGCAATTAGCCATGTGCAGGAAGAGTTAGTGTTTCAGAGGATATCTACATTACTGGCTAGTCCTAACTCCATTTTCACATGGTTTATGCCCTGGTACAGTTTCATAACAAGTAATAGAAGTTTTAAATACACTGGTATTAGTATTTATTTTCACAATTACCAGCACAGATAAATGAAGTTTACAAGCTAATTATATGAAAAATAATGTAATTCAAATGTCATTAAAATGTTAGATTCCAACTACAACACATTGAAGAGTTTATAGATGAACAGATTTCCCATTAATTTCTTCAAAATTTTTAATGCACTATATATCTCTCTGTACACTGTGTTTTAAGTGCTCTAGTGTCAGTGATTCATTCGGTACACTTATTCTATGAAAGAAGATTGGTACCTCACAGTCTGGGAGTTCCCATTGAACAGTTTATATTTCCATCATGAGAGATCAGTTTCTTTGTTCCGGTCAGCTTTGTGGGTCTAACAGTGTGACAGGCGACTCTGTGTTTTTGGCAAAGATGCTTACATTTTTGGTTAACTCATGATTTCCTAAAACACCTGAAGAAGCTCTGGTTTCTGGTTCCATGATTTTGGCTGGAGTCTTGTTGAAACTAGTAGGATATTGTTTATTATGTGTTTCTTTTTTAGTTTTGCTGAAATTTATTTTTAATTTGAGTTTAAATGAATTCAAGCATTCTGTAAGTTTCTCTTCTGTACAACTGGACTTTAGAAGTTCTCAATTTTTCTAAGTCCTACTGTTCGTTTCCATTTGCCACACTGACACTATCATCTTAAAAATTTATGGTGAAATAAATTCCACATCAAATAGTAAGCCATAGATGAAAGGTCATATGAGCGTCTCTGGAATTTTATGTATCCCATACTCAACAGTTCAATATTCATGTCGTCTTTACAAGAGAAATAAATGTCATCAATAGCAGTGAAATTTCGTCTGTAATAGAATTCCAGTATTTATTACACCACACTGCGAAACAAAGTGGAAATACTTTTGTTTCAATTCCCAGGTGTATGTACTTGATGAAGAAAAGCAGCTTGTGATGGTTATGGGTTCCAAGCCAACAACAGTTGAAAAAGACATGGAAAATATAACCAAGTGAGTGAAATCAGATTGTACCAAAATTTCATATACTTATAACAGAATGATGACATAATTATGTCTGCATGTTTGTTAGATTTATGTGCCTTACATATCTCATTTATTCATATTTTTCCAGATATTATATGTTTTAAGATAGTTTAAATTTGTGTGTGTGTTTGTATATATATGTCCTACATTTTTTAGCAAACACTATGATTTTCATATAACAGGAGAAACCACATAGAAACAGTCCACCCTCCTATAAAAACCTCACAGAAATTTGGTTTATGTTTAAAGATTTTATGCGTAACTTAATGTACATTGTAACATTTGAGATTTTCACAGCAGTTATGAAGAGTTGTATCTTCTGAGGTATTATGTTGATGCTGATCATTCTGAGCCCTTATTTATTTGGATGATTATAGATGACGATGAAATTTATTTCTAATTAATTCTCGGTAATTTTAATTTCAAAAGTCTTATGTTTCGATATTACTGGAAATGTATTGTGATCTATAATATCGTATTTCATCGTCTGGGACATGCAATACGGTGTTTATGTTGAAAATTTCTAGATTCTGGCAGAAACAAGAAGTCCGGAGTTATGACATTTACGATCAGTCATAAATTTAGCTCGGGTACAGGGAACCGGACGCGCCTAAAAGGACAGGTCAGAGCTTGTTACAATTGCCTGTGAATGAGGGCCAGTATGATTGGGTTGCCTCGTTCAAGCTTCCTACGGAAGATGGGATGAAAATGTATATGTCAACACCATCTTTCGAATTCCCGGCGTGGGGGTGCAAGCCATTCCACAAAGGAGAGACTTTCACAATATTCTGAAATGAACGGACGTGACCCTTGCATGCTCCGAGACATAGCTAGCCGATAGTGTAACGCTGTAACTTAAAGCTAAGAATACATTAATTTAACAGTGTGGTGAATTAGCAGGTGAATAAACGTCAATTGGCTCAACTCTCAGAAAAACGCTTTCTTCGGCATCGCTACCCTGAGACTCATGCAAACCGACCCAGCTAGTTTCCCGTACCTATACCGATCTTCCTTAGTTTGATCTGTGAGGACAACTTCCAGTAGCCATCATACACTGTCCTAAGGTAGAAACAGGTGTAGCAGGGATAGCACCATTCCTACTGCGCCAATACAAGCAAAGGCGGGTTAGAAAATAGCGGTGTTAATGTCATGTAATTAATTGACTTTCAGTTGGCAACACAGCATTATTTCACAGAAGACAGAATATTTTGCATATGCTGATAGGATAAAAATCATGTTAGCATGAATCACTAAGGTCATATTTTAAAAATAAACTGAAACCAGCCTTTACTGGGCCAAGTCCGGGAAAATCTATTTCTTTAATAAAATATTTAAACCTCACAATTTGCAGTTCATGCACAATATAAATTAGGGTTATGACATTAACTTAGATCACTTGTCAGACAGTAAAGTAAGCACAATTATGAATTCATCCATAAACCATATAATATAGAGAATGTAAAATAAGAGAATCATATCAAGATTTACATAAACAAAATCAGTACTAACGTAATAAGTTCTTCAAAAAATAATGAAAGATGGCTGCATCTAAAATTGCAAGAAATAAAACTCTGACAACACAAGAATTAAATCTTATGACCATCTACACCTTGAGTTCAGTATGCTAACTCATGAGCCAAATTCAATTAAATTTCATTATGGTTTTTATATTTATGCCCTCTAAATAAAACATGCACAGCACAAGATTTATAGAACCAAAAATTAGTGTAGGAGGAAACTAGGCTTTAACAATTCTACCCAAAACTGATTGTTATTACTTAACGTAATGTTCAGTTTTTACTTTCTCATATACATAACATGAGAAAATGTGATAATGAAAAATCTGTCTCTTAATTTTGACAGATTTAAATGCTTTCAGCGTCGCTGAATAAGAACATGCAGTTTTCAAAATGTCATTTGCCTGTCTGTATGCCTGTCTACATGTATCATGTGTATGAGGAAGTAAGTGCTGTGGCTTTACACTAATTATGAATTGCTATGTGGAACTCTACACTTTACACATTCAATTTTTTCATCTAATGACTATATAATAAAGCCAGTTTAGTATTACAATCAATCTTCCACACAAGGTGTCACTATAAATTATTGTTATCATCTAAATATAAAAATAAAGATTACTTACTATGTGAATGCCTAATATTTTAATCCAAAGGCCAAGAATTAATCTGAAAACTATGCAGCATATTTGTAGTCAGTAAATGTGTGTGTGACCACTTTTGTTTCTAATTTAGTTACATTTTCCCAACAGTGCTCTCTACAATGTGACTGGTCTAGATGTACGAGTCAGAAAAATTGAGCCCCATGTGGAACGAGACTTTGATGAGGGTAGCGCGTAAGTTCAAAATAACTTGTAAATTTTCAGCTCATATCTCACTGAACTAAGAAGGTGCTCTACAGTTTGACTGGTGAAGTGAAATAGAGTGGACAGGGGGAACAGAGCTCATGTTCATAGTTCCCTGAAACACAGGAGGTTTTATCACCTTTAAATCTCTGACTTAGAAACCCTTATTTGGGTAAATCCACTGTCCATCCACATCAATCACATTTGCTATAATTTTATTATTAGATGTATTTTCTGAGTATGAAATGGTTAGAAAAGAGAAGCATAATAAAACTTGCTAATATACAAAGATTTCAGTTTAGCATTGCTTTCCTTTAAAGTGGTTGCCTCTCAGCAGTAATACTTCCTCAACCAACATAAAATTTCCTTATTTTCAGGACTGACTTATATCTTTATGCTGTTGACCCAAGGATGAACATTATTATTGATATGGACACATTACAGCAGTAAGTAGATGAACAAAGAAATATGGAAGTAATGTGGTACTTTTCCTTATGGTGAGGGTTGTTATTTATTTTCAGTCACCACTATAGCATCAGGTAGTGAGTCAGCTGGTTCAAGCTATAACACTTCTGACATATGTCTGGGAAATAGCTGGTTAGGCCATCAAATATCATGACTGAAGTTTCACTTGATTTTTCTCAGTCCCTCCAGGCGAAGGCCTCAATAGTGATATCCTTTCAAATTCGTTGTTCACAGTCATCTAATCGGTTGACATTATATACTCTGAGTGAATAACCTTTCCTTAAATAAACTATAAATAAATAAATAAATGAAATATAGCATCAATTTGTTCCAGATTAGAAGCCGGTTTTTGTTTAAAACTAAATATTATATTGTGGCATGTAAACTCGTTGCTAGGCAGTGAATCTGTAAACATTTGCGGTTGCTAGACAACACCTGCAACACATACGTGGCCAACAGAACAGGAGCAGTGTTTTCTATGTTTGCAGATGGACCACTGCTATGCAACATGTGTGCTGTTATGTCACGCAACAGTAGCAGGTGGTGGTTGAGTAACATGTGTGTACAGTGATGTGTTGCCTGTTCCTCAGCTTTACAAGTGAGTGTCATAGTTCAGTTGGAATTACGAGATAGAAATAACAGCAGAATCATGAGAAGAGACCAAGTTGGAACTAGAAGAGACAGTGAATGTGTGTGACATAGTCCTGAGTTCTGAGTAGTTACGAGAGATAGTAGCGGCGGAAGTCTGTGAACAGAGCGAGTGGAACCAGGAGTACAGAAGAATACAGGAGGTCTACCTGTGAGGATTTAAGGTGTGATGGGAAGATTTTATGTGTAATATTTGTAATGACTTAAAGTGACAGTTTCTGTGTTGGGATCCATTGCTAAGAGATGAAAAATGAAGACAGAGAATCCTAGTGCATGTGAAACGGTGAACTGGAAAGTGTGTACATCAGTGATACCGTTGATTTATCTGTATTTAAGTGTAATTAAGAGAGAACGTGTGTAACTGAAGTGCTAATAAGTGCAATCATCTGAACTACATAGAACCCATCATTTCATCACAAGTTCCACCCGACCCATGGCAATATAAATAGAAAGAGAATGTGTGTGGGTTTGTCTGTTAACACTCTGAAACCAAGGGAGTTAGAAAGCTGAAACTTGGCATACATAATTAGGTAAACCTGAGGATGTGCACCTCAAACATATTATTTACTTCTACATCCATTCTGCTCATAGGCTACAACTATGGCAATTTATACAAGGTGGTTCAAATATGACTGGGTCTGATTTTTTTTAAAAAGCCATAATTGCCAGACACTTACTTGCACATGTCAGTCTTCAACATACTCCCCTCTGGAGTCAACCCATTTTTTCCAACGTTCTGGAAGCATCCTGATGCCCTTTTCAAAAAAGGCTTGTGGTTGGCAGCATATCCACTCCCGAACAGTCTGGATGACAGCATCATTGTCCACAAACCGCATGCCTTGCAAGTCTGACTTGAGCCTTCCGAACAGGTAGAAATCACATGGGGCCAAATGTGGTGAATTCCAGTAGAAAATGTAGTGTGTGTGCTGCTCTCTAATGACAGCGATGTGAAAATGAGGTTATTTCATCAGTCGTTGTTTACATTCCCTACAGTATGGACAATACTTTGTAAGATGAGGCACCGACTAAACAATTAACATTAATTTACTACATCTACATCACAAGCCTCCTATACAATCTTATATACAAAAAGAAAAAATATAGAATATTCCAATTTGTCCATGGGAACGCAACGAAATTACAAGACCAATGACTGATTCGATGATAAAAAACATCAATTTAAAAATTTTATTCTTCTTTTATACTATAACTTCTGTTTTATATAATCTGATTTATTGTATTTTTTAAGTCACGTATTTTATATGATTAATAGTACTGTATCCAGTTCAATAGTACTGCAGTTCAGTGGTGTATATATGTTAACCGTGTATTTGCCTGATGATGGTTATTGATAGCCGAAACATGTAGCAGAGCCGAAACTAGGCACTGATCTTGATATTTGTTGTGTTGTGACGGTTAATAAAGAAGTTGCATATTGTAATATGACAGGATGTATGGAATGAAAATTATTTCATCTTGCTTTCAAACATGTTTTCTTTCATTTGATTTTGATTTTTTTTTCATTCTGGTCCGTCACACTAATAATATCATGAAAAGTTAAACAGTTCCATCTAGTGTGACTGGTGAAGATTTTTCTTACTTAATTTATTTATGCCCTTACATGTTTCGGTCTTCAGACACCGTCATCAGAGGAACACATCAGTGTTTAACTGCTTTCCTTACTATCACCATTTAATGTGTGTATGAAATTCTTTCAAGTCCCAAGTAAACTTCAGAGAGTCATAATCTAGTGTCTGCCAATTATTTCCCCAAGTATATCCATTTCATGCAAGGGCTTACTTTATGTGTCTCTGTAATTCACACACTGAATTAAAAAAAAATATGTATAATCATTTTCCAGTCAGACTTGGGGAAGAATTTAGGAGAGCAACAATTAAATACAGAATACTAGAAATAATATAATTCTCATTTCATAAGGAATAATAATATTCATAATATAATTATGATTTATGTTGTGCAGTGTCCTAAATAAGAAACAGTCTGACATAAAGCGTTTCTTGGAACATTATCGAGTTCTTGAGATAGCCAGCGGAGCTCCTGTTGTCACTAAGCCACGTAACCAGCGCTACTTACTCTCCTCTCTTGAAGTGGGTGTAGTAGTACTTGGTTGTGTTGTGTTTGTGGGGGCTTTGGCAGCTGCGATATGTGTTGGTTGTGTCCGAAGGAGCAAACAGAGGTAAGTGAAATGTCATGTAAGCATATACTGAACATAAATTCTGGAATTGGGTTGATTAAAATGCTGTTTTCATAACACACACAGAAGTTTACTGCAAGGCTGTGAATAGAGAATAACAGAGAATATCTGTGAGAGATAATTATATACAACATAGATAACTCACAGATTTTTAAAAAGAATGTGATACTATTAGAAGAGAAATAATTAGGAAATTCCATGAGATGTTAAAAATAATTGATACACTGACACAAAAAGTAGCAATAAAGTTAAGAGTGTCATATTTATGTATAAGCTAAATGAACTAAAGTTAGGACCTCACAGTCAACAAAGTAATGCAGGAGACAACATAGCATTATCTTCTGAAACATCTGACTGCAACTTGCCAGATTAGGATTATGAAAACAGCACACAGGAATACCTACAATAATAAAAAACAACTGCACTCCTTGTTTTCATTTCTGGTGCAAGAGGTGTGATTGTTGTCACACAAATAATAGGTTTTACATATCTGTGCAATTTCACATATACTTAATTTTTACATATTCATATACACTTTTATTAATAGTTTAATTGCAGTTCTTTTTAACAAAGTAGGATATTTTTTTGAAACATCTTGTCACATGTGAAAGTTGTCATATTATTATTCAAGTACAAATCTTTATAATGTTTATTAAGCATTCTTTCTACAGTACTTTTAGAAGAATTTTGGGACTCCCATCTTTATCACAGAGCTCATGAACCTTTAACCTGGCCATGAAAATTACAAAACATTTGAACTGTATTGGGGCTAACTAACTTCATGGAGCTGAGCCCCTTTTGAGAAGCTGCCTCTTGTGCAGCTACTCAAGAACTTCCTAAAATTGTATGGAACCTGAAGATTCATTGCCATGTTCACAAGAGCCCTCCACTGGTCCCTATCCTGGACCAGATCAATCCAGTCCATGTCACCGCATCCTGTCTCTCTAAGATCAGTTTTAATATTATCTACTGACCTATGTCTTGGTCTTCCTAGTAGTCTCTTTCCTTCTGGCTTTCCCACCAATATCCCCTATGCATTTCTCTTCACCCCATTCATGCTACATTCCCTACTCATCTCCTCATTGACTTGATCATTTTAATTATAAGTATACTTGGTGAAGAGTACAATATGTGAAACTCCTCATTATGCAGTCTTCTCCAACCTCCTGTTACTTTATCTCTGTTCAGTCCAAATCTGTATTGGGACGAATGTAGAAAAATCACCAAGATTTGAAATTAAATGTGCGATCATACAAAGCAGTATCTTGTCACCATTAATTTCATTTTGAATGGAATTACATGCAAAATGAAACACAATTCATGAAATGAAAATGGTGCAAAGCTATTGCCTATATTTTCTCATATATGACTGACCTTCACCTTGTACCTGTGCAGACAGAGCTGACTGCTCCTTGGTATAACATTGTTGGTTGCTGAATACAAAACAATAGTGGGATCGGTCTGATCGGTCCTGTGATCTAGGTTAGCTCTTTCTAATGGGCCTAACAGGGTAGGTGCTTCTCACCCCTCTCACATGAAGGCAGAAACAGATCCAGTTTCTGGAACATTGTGAACTTCAAGTGTTGTTTATAATACTGGACTGTCAATAATATATAGAAATCCAATACTCCTGAAAATTCTGTGACAATTTCAAGGAGCATATCTAGGATTGGAAACCAAAGGTTATTTTTAATCACAGAGGCCTAAGATAAGAACTGAATTTTTAGAAAGAACTTTTTTGGAAAATTATGTACCAAAATCTTGGTAGAAAAAATTTATTTAATGTATTCTCAATCTGGCCAATATTTCTATCAACATCCTATGAATGGGGGTAATGTGATGTGCAGTATGGCCATTTCAGCCTTCAGTTTGCAGTCTCACTCCTTGTCAAATTTCCAGGAAAATTAAAAAGAACATAAGACGAGGCATTAGCCACAAAGAACCATTTTTTTGTATGATGAATTATTCTTGAGGTAATATGTTTCAGAACATTATACGGAGTTCACTGACTTTATTGATCTCTGTAGATCAATATTAGGGTTCATGTAGCAGGTACAAATAAGACATTTGTGAGATCTGGTTTTTTCTTGTTAAGTGAGTTTAAATTGTGGTCTTCTGGCTTGTTGCACTGTGTAGATTTGTCAGCGATTTTGACCCTGAAGGTGGAAGCAACAGGATCCTCTGAAACACTGATATCCATCTACACCATCATATGTCACAAACAGCCAGAAGACCAAGCACAAATTTCATCATCTGAGTTATGAATGATTATTTCTGTAGTTAATAGAAATTGTATATAGATCTTGCCAAAATCCATATGCACCTATATTCCTCTCTTCTTTCATTCTGGAAATTTGTGATTACACTAGAGGTTTTGATTCATTAGCCATGTCTGGATAAAGGTAATATATCCTAGTTTGCCTCACTAATCTCGTTTATTTCAGACGACAACAGAGGAATAAATCCTATCAATCTCAAGTGGGTTTCAACATTAGCAACACAACAAATCCTGTAATAAGAACTACTTCAAAGGCTCACCTATTTCCTGCTTCATATGTGGATGGAATTGGGTGTGGCGACACAACAGACACATATGTTGATCTACACTCCAACAAGTCAATGGTTTATGGTCCACACTTCCATCAGCATCATGATCCAAGCTGCTCCAGACAGCATGAACACCAGCGTCATAGCAGTTCTGTAGGCCAGCAACTACGCCCGGTGCGTTCCAACAGCAATGTAGCAGCTGCCACAACTGGCCTGGAGGCCTCCATTACGTCTCTCCAGTCCAGTGGGCAGGATTCTGGTATTGGGCGTTGTGTTTGTGGGCATTCCACCAGTCATTCATCTGGTGACAGTAGCAAGTAAGCAAGCGATTTGAAGTGCAAAACTAATAATATTAACCAGAAATATTTATAAGCTCTACTTTATTGTCATAGACTAAACTTATATCTTGAAGGTAACAGCCAGTGCTATCATTGAGGCAAAGGTCTGCAGTATTTCTCGGTAATTTGCTTCCATATCTCTAACATCAACCAAGAAAATTCACACTCTCCATTTTCTTTTCTTGCAGTAAAGGCGTATCCTTAAGGCACTGGTTGTCAGACCCCGACATTTGTTCAGATGTGCCATAAGAAAGAGTCAAAATTTTGGCCATTTTGGCATTTCATAAAAGTTTTGTAATTCATATGAATGAAAATATGTAAATAATCAAAATGAAAGCAATGTGAATTTTAACATCATGTCAGGTGTTTAATACATAATTTATGCTGTACTTTTCATTGTAAATGAAATTCTGCATACAGTATTTGAATTCAGACTTATTAAATGTTATGTCACCAGTGGCAGTTATGAAGATTCTCTCAAATCTCTCCACCAACACGCCATTAATGGAGGTCACATTCGACACACAAGCCTCATGAGACGGAGTAACGATGTCTCAACAAGAAGACGACCGCGTCACAACTCCATCAGTGGAGATGTGGTGCATCGAGCACCTGACATACAGCAGCAACCAATGAAACAACAGCACAAACCTTTAGTACTCATGGCCACTACTAATTCATCTCTGGTTCGAAAAGCAAGTGAAAGATCAGTTGTATGTCCATTGATAAATGAATGAAAGCTCTCTGAAATGTGATGCATCTATGGTTTTCATGATTTTGTCATCATTTTGACTGGAATTTTCTGTGTTATTTCCAATTGCACATTTCTGTACTACTGATGGTGGTAATGAAACCTTAGGTAAATGATTACAATGTCAAATTATTTGAAGACCAGTTGCCTCATTTTCTATTCACCTTAAAAGTGCCAAATGTAAAAAATTTTTACCTTTGAAAAAAAATGCTAGATATACCAACTTGTGATATATACTGGATATTTTTCAAGGTACACTGTGAGAGCATTATTTCCCTATATTTTAAGTCTTGGGGTGGGGTGGGGTGGGGGCAGTTATATGAATAATTTACTTTGCCCACGAATTTTGCAGCAAATTGACTTTAGTCCATGGGAAATAAAGTTGGCACTTCGAGGGTTATGTACAGCTATCCATATTTGATTTGCTCATCTTAGACTTAAGGGCTGTTTCTCAATGTTGTAGGATCTGTCTTAGATTGAAGCAATCTTTATAAGTCTTGAATAAAACCATGCTGCTGAGATAAATATAAGCTTTATGTTTGCTACAAATATAAAGCAACCCCAATACATTTGGACTTATTCTGCAACAGAAAAATCAAAGTAATTGCTTCCAAAAAATTTTAACCTATTGTGCATATAAATAAAATATTTTATACATGTATTGTGTAATTACATATCTGCTTGATCTATCCAAATACATTTTCTGCTACTGAAAGACTTGCTTAACAGTACAAGAATTCAGTATCTAGTGATTCTCTTCCCTGGGGAATTTTATTTTTAAAATTTATGTGTGAATCATCTTTCTTGTTTAAGAAATGCCTTTTATGTAGTTTGGTTTTTGTATGATTTGTGATGTGAATTTCATATCACGATATAGTCATAAAAATTATGGGGCAATATGAACAAGAATACACTATACAGCAGGTGCTTTCATTTTGTCTGACATGAGTGACCTTGCCTTAATTGAAGGACAAGCACATGGAATTTTAGTAAGATAATTAATCTCATCTGTCAAAATAATCAAAACAAAAGAAGGGATATGCACAAGAAATATTGCTTTACTGTGAAGCAAGATATTCAAATGTCTCCTGTCCTGATGCTATGCAGTCTTCTCTGTCTACCACTCCTTGCTGCATAAAGGAGTACAAAATTAATCAAAGTCAACTGTGATACCGTGACCATGACACGGAAACTTACAGAGAGCGAAGGCAGACAGTCATGTTCAGATGCTGGAAGAGATGTAATTAATGGATGTGGTATTAGATGTACTGTGTTTTGGAAGACGAGACATGTAACTTGGATAGGTTGTCTGTGCAGTCTTAACTGACCAGTATGTATATGCACATGGAGAACTAAGTTTAATGAGACATGGAAGGAACTCATCAATGTAAAAAAAAACCCAAAAGTTATATTTCAAGACATTATTATTTTCTTTTTGTGAATTATTTTACAATGTTTTCAGTAATGCAAATCAAATTATTATCACAAAATTTGCCTGGAGGGACTGAGGAAACCTGCAAAAAGTTTAATGTCAGTATATTATAGAGAAGGTTTTATGAGAGGAAGATAGTATTTAAAATTTAACTGGTTGTCATCATCATCATCATCATCATCATCATCATCATCATCATCATCATCATCATCATCACCATCACCATCACCATCACCATCACCATCACCATCACCATCACCATCACCATCACCATCATCATCATCATCATCATCATCATCATCATCATCATCAATGGAGCTGAGCACTTCTTGAAAAAGCTGCCAATTGTGCAGTTATTCAAGAATTTCCCAGCATTTTATGGAACCTGAAGGTTCATTACCATGTTCACAAGAGCCCTCCACTGGTCCCTATCCTGAGCCAGATCCATCCCATCCTACCTCTCTAAGATCCATTTTAATATTGTCCACACACCTACATCTTGGTCCCTTTCCTTCTGGATTTCCCACCAATACATGTGTTCCTCTTCTCCACCAATTCATTTTAGGTGCCCAGCCCACCTCATCCTCCTTGACTTGATCATTCTACTTATACTTGGAGAAGATTACAGTAATGAAGCTCCTCAAAATTTAAATGGTAAATAATTTAAAATAATATTCTGGGGGAGATCATTCTTGTGTTAAAATATGTGCTGTTTAATGAAGTGACACTTGGTTCTTTAATTAAACTTATGTCAGATTCACGTTTATATATATGTCATTCTTACCAAATTAAATCTCCTTCAGAATCTTAAAATTGACAATTATTACTTCTAAATATTAATTCAGTAAATTTGTACTGAAGTTTCATTTCAAACAAACCAACATTTTTGAAGGCAATTAAATTAATTAAATAGCAACAAATACTATCTTGTATTCAAAAATTATTTGTCCCCCACTCACTGTGGTTATGAGTGGTCATAGTATGATCATTATGCAGTATGCAGTGTCATGCTAAAATTGTTCCAGTGCTTATGATAGTGATGAAAATTATAAAACTGACAAATGGATGCTGCCAATTTTCTCATCAGCATTTTGTCAAGTGTGATATGGTGGCCAAAAATAATGAGCTATATGTAATCATACAATATATGATGTCATCAAGGTTGCAACACCAAATTTATTTAGGAGGTTTAAAATACATGAACCGAAGAACATCTTATGAGAAATATACATCCACTTGTACTGTTCAGTGTGGGGCGACAGAAACTTTCTCCCCCATGTCAGTATATTTTAGCTTGAGAAACTTTCTATGGGTTTGAATTATATCTGGCACTGGTGATTTGCAATACATGTCACAAAGGAAAATTTATTTTAGTTCAGAAAGGGCATTAAGGATACTAATTCAGAGTTGTCTGTTGCAGTCATCATATAGAGTAATAACCAAAACAATGCTAGTCTCTATTGCAGCTTGGTTTTATAAAAGAGTATTAGAATACTATATATATCATTAAGAGCAGGAATTCCTTGTTCATGAGCGAAATAAAGCGTCAGATTAGGACTTACTTAATTATTCACTACCTTTGTGATTAAACTTGTGTAATTTTTAGTTTCTATAGGAAATAATGTACCCTAGCATGAATTTGAAGTGCCTTTGAATTATTTTTTCTGACTGTTACATCATTTCTTATGGAGAAATGGGAACTATTCAGATTCCTCAGACTTTAAAGAGAGAGGTAATTTCTAAATTGAGATGAATAATTATCCCATGAGAATAAGTTGTGTAATCTGCTGACAGGGAGTTACATTTTTTGTAGTGATATATGTGGACTTCATTTTATGCATGGCACTGCTACAGAGCTTCGTGTTTCTTGTATAAGTCACAAATACAACAGATTTATCCAGAGTTTCTTCTAATTTTGATACGAGAGAAATATATTATGGGATTTTGAGCAAACACTTTAACATCACACAAATTATATTTTACATTTGCACACATGGTGTCATGTTCTCAGTAGAGGAACTTATTACTTTATTATTATCATAGAAAAACAAAAATCATAATTTTGCCATTTTCGTGACATGTTTAAGTCTCTCAGATCATCATCAGGAACATATGCTGCTGCCACCTAAGCTCCTAAGATTTACATCTGTGACATTATATAGGTTATATGTCTTATAAAATCACAGATATTGCAGGAAATTTTTTTAAAATTTTAAAACTATATCAAGTATATAAAATTAGAATTTAAATGTCAAACATATTCAAATATAACACTTAAATGTGCATTTTATCAATGGAAAATTTGTTATATATTCATTATAAATCCTCTTGTTGTCAATAGATCTTCTAAAAAAGATTTTATGCTCAGAATTTACAATGAAGGAAGCAAAAAAGGAGTTTATAATTGTAAGATGAGCTCAGTCGGTCACAGTAGTAATATTGAAATGCAATGTTGTTTATTTCTGGTCTGCAATTCCAGTGACACTTCCCTACACTTGCTGTAGTTGCTAGAAAATTCTGACACTGTTCTACTGTACAATTTCTAAGTTACCACTACTATGGCATTATTCAAATGTTCATAGTAGCTCTGTTATTTTGCTTATGGTGTGTACTTAAATGGGCCGAACTGTGCAATATTTATATAATTAATGTTATGTGTGTAAATATGGACTGCCTGCTAATGCTAAGCCCATTTTTGTAATTAGGTGCCTCATATCTTGTTTATATTTAGAAATAGGAAAACACAAATCACTGTAAAATTGTAATAATATATGAATACATACAAATTTTATACATGTGAATGTTTGTTTACAAATATTTTCATCACATTTTTAATCATAAGCATATAAACATGACCATCATAATCATCAGTGGTTTCTTTGTCTTGTATTTGTCAGTATGCACACTGGCAGACAATCAATATATACTGGTACAACCTGTCAGATCAAAAGTTTCACTCTTTGTTTCAAGCTGGCAACTAGAACCAAGCACAACACTACCAGTAAACATGATTTTAGGAAAAAGAAGGACTGATTATCACATCATCTTTTCTCTTCATTGCTGTTATTAAGTGCAGCAGCCTCATGTAAAGTCCATTTGTCTGCATTCTCACGTCCTGTTTATCTCGGAGAGTTTCAGTTCTGAATTTTCCTAAGTTTATGAAACAGTAGGGTGACTGTATTGGGAAGAATGTGAAGGGAAGAGACCACGGCCTTACAATCCCAATATGTCCTTAAGAGAAACTGAGTAAAACCATGATGACTCTCACTGACTGACTACCTGACCTCCAGACCAATGATAAAAACTGAAATTTTTGGAATATGAAGGAATTCTAACTGCTCAATTCCAATGTCTGGTACAAGAATGATTACACAGCATAACAGATTGTCACTTTCTTCGATAACTTGTATAAAAGGCTGTGCTATAGCTCACGCAGTTAGTTGCTAGTTTCCCACCGCGGCAGCCCTAGTTTGAGCCCGGATCTGGTCATGTGGGATTCGTGGAGGACAAAGTGGTGTTGGGGCAGACTTTCTCTGAGTACTTTGGGTTCCCTTGTCAATCTTCAATCCACCAATTACTCCACAATCATCATCATCTGGGGCTGTTTAAATTAGTGGTTGCGGTACCAAGTGGACTCAGGCTCACCCCACTAAGAATAAAAATAACAAAAGACTGTAAGCAATAAGTTGTTCCTGACTCGACTAGGCACCATGTTCGCAGAAATGGCAGTCAAAGTGTTTTAACACCTGCAACTTATTTACCTTCCAATTTCTTGTATGAAGATCTCATAAGCATACATACTGTGTATTATGTGCTTTGAAATAATGAAGATATTCATTAATATTCAT